CTGACTTTCTTTTTAAGTTATTCACCAACACGTACGCTTTAACGTCATCGTCATGCCTCAGCCATCAACATGATTTCCTCGGGTTTTCTCTCCCTTTTTGCTTTTTGCCTTTTTCCAACGACCTCCACCCCAAACCCCATGGAGTGAAGTCCCCCGTCGCCGGCAGTTATGCCCTCTTAAACTCTTTGAGCCTGCGCTGGCTAATTGTCCTTATGTGACTTGGATACGCTTATCTGGCCAACTGAGGATACGGGAGCTAGTCCGCACCTGGTGAGCCAACGGATTTGTCCTGCATCCTCGTCTGTCATTTCTCTCCTTTTGCACGGGAAGAAATTTGGTCCTGGTTTTAATAATTTATCATGGCAAATATCCCAAATAAGCTGGTTTTGAATACTTTCTTAAATATTAGGAGATAACAAACCTTTATTTACCAGCATCCTTTGAAATTTTTTAAATTATAAATATATTTTTTACTTTATTTATTTATAAACCTTTTCTTCGACTTTTTTTCCCCCCGTGTTTGCTCTATATTTTGTGCAGCATACTGCCAGGCGCATATCGTCCTGTTTCTCTTCTTCGCCTTCTGTGTGTCAGCGTTTATCGCTCGCCTTGGGTGTGCTCTTTATTGTTTTTGGCAAGGACACACACAAGGATGCAGGTGTGTGCATGCAAGAACAAAAATAGATACTACAGTGAATTCCTGCTAGGAGAATCCAGTTACCTTCCATCTTGGGTATCCTGGTGTCTTGTAGTCTTTGGTTTCTTGACTGTGACTGTCTCGTGTGGGCTGTTTAGTTTTAAAATAGTGCTTACGCCTTTGGGAGGTCCTTTAGCCCACGGTACTTCCTTCCGTCCTTCCGGTTTGGGTTCCTGTTTCGGGTTTTCCTCGCCTTTCCCTTCCTAGCTTCAGCACTTTCCCTGGCCACAGCTGTGCGTTGGCTTCATTTCCTTTTTTTTTCTTTTACATATTTTTTTTTTTGCTGCTGCCACTGGTTTCTCGTATCTGTGCCAAGTGAAGCGCGCCCACGTTGCCATTTTATAGGTCAAACTTGCACTCTCTTCAGCAAATGCTTTACGCCCACTCTGGCCCCTTTTTCACTCTATACCCCTTTTCCCTCACTCTCTCCCCCTTGCCAGTTTTCTACGGACTTTTCCGACTTGAAGCGTCTGGTTATTCAATAGTTTGGCGCTCACTAATTGCATTGCCCTAATTGCCCAAGTTACGCTCGAAATGTGCCAAAAATGGACACGAAAGTGAAAAAATCCGGAATGTTTTTTTAATGCCAGTGATATCGGTTGAATATAGGGAACTGCAAATTGTAAACGAATTGAGGGATTATTTGTCAATTAAGCTCGTGAAACAATGAATCACTATGTGTTGTGGGAACTTTCCTGGGTTATTCTATCTCTGACGGTAGATATTAAATGTAATTAGGTGTTTATTTATAAATATTTTTAGAATTTTATTTGGGTCAGGCACTACAGAAATGAGTACTATATTATCTTTATATCTCGTATTTCTGGCTTTATAATTACCCTTAAATTTATTCCCTTTAATCAAATCACACTGTTATCCGTTTCCTGGACAATTCACTGTCATATTTGTGGTTTATTTGCCACCATCCATCCCTGTGGCTAAAACATTTTGCAATTATACACGCATCTACTGTTTCTCCCGGGGGGATATTAAATTCTTGGGATGTTTCATTGTTTGCCGTTTCCCCTAGATACAGATACATACTAGTTGGGATGATATCAGTGAGCAATTGCATAGTCGTAACTCTGGCAACTCTTTACCCTCTTTTTTGGCGAATATAAAATTCCCTGGCAGTTCTCTCGTTTCCATTGGCATTACTCGCGCAATTTTCGCACGTGGAATTTTGCAATATTGTTGAGTACGAGAACGAGCACCTCAAAATGGCTGAGTGACGGAATGACTGACTGACAGTTGTTGTGGGTGGTGTAGGTAAGGGGTGCAGTAATGCTGGGTTATTGTGTGTGGGAGTTTTTGAGCTGGCTTCTGCTGCTGCTGCTGTTGATTAAATTCCATTGATATCGCCCCGGAACACTAGCTTTACTCTGGCGCTGACTGTGTGATTTTCCGGCTGACCTCTGTTGTTGTTGTTGCTGCTGCTGCTGCTGCTGTTGCCGTGGCTTTTCCGCATTTCCCGTAGTTCTCTCTGCCAAGTTGCCAGGGCCGAGTAATGAACATTTTAATAATTCAGCTCGACCTGCTCGGTATTCTCTCTTTGTCGCCATTTTACTACGAGTAAGTAGTAGCTGGTGGCATCATCAATTTTGCTAATGCCCGGGAATAAAGTTCTCAAAAATAATTTCATAATACTGTAAATAATTAAGAGGCGGACATAAATCATGAGCACTCATTTCATAGCCAGTCCTCCTTCTCCGCCACCCGTCTTGGCTTTTCCTGAATCATGTCAGGGGCACTTGGCCCATCGGCAAATCAGCTTTAGCCTCACCCACTTTATGCTGCTGCTGGCTGGCCATCCACCACATCCGCCCGAGAGCCTAGAGAATCTATGATGGCAAAGCTTTTAGTTTTTCACAATTTTCTATTAAGCAAAAAAAACACATTTATATATACATGTGGAAGAGATGGAAAATCTGCCGGGCATATAAGTATTTATATTCCATTTTATGCCAACGTCATTCGAGTAAATGAAGAAAACGATTTTGTTTTTCTCGCATCTAAAAATATTCCAATTTGTGTGATTTTTATATTTTGCATTTTGGAAAACTGTGACGCGTTTTAATGAGCGGAAGATATATCTGTTATTTGGCTTTTTCCTATTTATACTTTTAGCTTTAATTTGGCCAAAAGAGTGAATTTATTGCCTTGATTTATACCAAGCACTTATATTTCGGTTAATTTATTTGTTCGAGATAGCGGAAAATGGGTCGAAATGGAGCCATAATCACGTGTTGGCAACAACTTTCCCACACCGTCCATTAAATAGATATCTCATACATGCATCCGCCATACCCACGTCCCTGCATACGTCCGTATATATATGTTTATATATCTTTAAATCGATCAGGTCGCCCGCTCGCTCGGTACAATTGAAATGCCTCGCATAGCACAACTTCAGCGGAGGAACGCAAACAATTTTGACATTTTCATTGTTAATGAAAATTTAATTATGTTTCCATTGCTATGTGAGCCAATCGCACACGTACACGTTCGCGTCCGCGTCCATTGCCGGACAGTTGTTGTCTCTTCAAAAGGCGGGCGGAGGAAGGTCCAGATAAATGTTAAATGATAAGCAACCAGCAGTGGGCAATGGAGCGCGTCGCCCCATCATCGATGATACGAATTCAGATACCGATTCGGATATAGTAGGGATATGTGTACAAATACAAACACCGCCGGCATACGAATATACTATATCGTTAAGTGCCGGCAGTGGCCAGCAAACATGCGACGCCCAGAACATGCAAACATCATCTAACACAACACACATCTCCCCCATCTCCATTCCAAACACATCAAATACATCAAAATGTTTGACGAAGGCTGAGAATGTATTCCGGACTCGAACTCAAATTAGTGCATGTTGAAGTTTCCTTGATCGGCATAATAATGGATTTAAAAGCAGGCCTTAGAAACACGTTTTATATTCGGGAGGCACAGAGAAAGAAATAAGGGGGAAATTGAAGAACTAGAATATAGGATTTTTAGCACTGCTAAAAAATATATCTGAAATTATTAAATTAAAAACTTCAATGTCGTGTGGAAATATATGTATGTCCCAGATTATTTCCAATTGAAAATATAGATTTTTCAGCTTTCCTAGAAAAATAGCTTCTTGGGAATTCATTTAAATCAATAATTCAAAGCGACTTTGTCATTTAATAACATTATTTCTTACCTTGCCAGTACCAATATTCAGCCAATGTACAAAGAGATTAAATTAAGACCCCATTAAACAAGTAATTTGCTACTCAGCAAACATGCAAACATGTACCAATCTAATGGTGTCCCTTCAATCTTGGGTCTCTTGTTTGCTGCTCTAGAATTATAATCCTTGCTTTCTGAATTTATTTAATATATAATTATTAATATACATATATGGTCTATAAAACATAATAAAAACTATATATTTCATTCTTTATTATCCTGGGGTATATAAATCGTTTTATTCAGTAATTTCTTACATATTCTTATTAATTTGATTTGAAATTCGTTGGTGTTTCATATTGTGTTAAATTAAAAATAATTTAAAGGGAATACCAAACTCTCAGAAACCTAAATACCTTAAATAAATATGTTTCACTAAAGGAATGCAATTTAATTGAAATTAATTGGCATAAAAATGGTAAGCTACCACCGGCAGTAAGCTCAAACTTCCACGTGAATAATTTGCACAAAAAATATAAATTAAATAAAACATGAAATTCCTATAATAAATATATTTAAAAAATACCCTAGTTATTAATTTTTTCCTGTGCCTGCACATCTTGCCCCTAGTGTGGGCCAAAAAAAAAACTTTTTCAAACCGCCTTGTTGACAAGGCAAGTTTATTGTTGCTGCTGCTGCTACTGCGGCTGTGCTGTTGCTGCGATATTGCTGCTGCTGCTACTATGTGCTGTGTGCTGCTGCTGCTGCTGCTACTATGTGCTGCTGCTTTTAAAATTAAACTCTCTGTGCTATTTAGTTGTCTCGCCGCCGCTTCTGAAGGTGAATTTATGGTGCACACATGGTGCCCGACTACCTCTGCTAGTTTTCTGTGTGTATGCGTCGAGTTTTCCTCGTGTGACATATGTCGGCTGTGCCAGAAATAGATTCGTTTCGAAATGTAGGGGGCAATTCTTTGCTTTTTTTCTCTCTCATTTTCCTTTCCCGAGATTCAAACGTTCGTCTTCGTCTTCGTCGACGTTGTCGTTTGTCTCTTTTGTTTTGCTGGCCATGTGGCTGATTATTTTAATGGCTTATTAATGAGCGCAACTAATTTTCTATTTCAACTAAATCCTTCTTTCAGATCTCGAGCCAGAAGCAGCGCTAACAACTGTATAAATGCGTGCCACAAATAAAGCAGTGGAAACCTATTCTATAACCTCAGCCGCCTAATAGTCAGCCATCCGATCCGTTCCGATCCAGAACCGATACGCCGCAAATACCGATCCCGAGCAAAGATAAAGATACCACGCCGCCACGAGATCAACGAGAACCGAGAGGCAAGCAGCGATCAGCGAGTAGCTATCAGCGACCGGCGAGTAGCTAACATCATTTTTTGGCCAGCGCGCACCCCCGTCTCCAGTAACAGCCTCAAGATTCTGCCCTTCGGAGCCGCCAACTTTCGTCTGGAGACGACACCCGCAGAGATGCACAAGATAGCGGCAGCGCCACCTCCAACGGCACAGCCCGCTGGAGCGTTGGAAGCGCCACTGGCGGCGCCCAAATACGGCACACTTATACCCAACCGTATCTTTGTGGGCGGCATCAGGTGAGTGGGTCAAAAAACAGGTCGTTTTTAATCCAGGAACTTTTCAAGGAAATTGCCTTTGACTTGGGAGTAACTCTTTAAACGTGCAAATAAAAGGGGAAATGACCCCTAATTGCAGGCCAATTTCCATGGTTTTTAGCTAGATTTATGTATCCAGCAGGGAAAAGCAGCATTAGGGTTAATAGTAATGGTTCTTTATCTGGGAAGTAGATGCAGATTTATCTTTAATGTTAATGTAAATACGTTTCTGCATTGTTTCAGTGGAAGTTCTGTATTGTAAGGCTTTAAAAACAGAGAATTCATAGAAACCTTCCTGCCACGGAATTGGTGGTACACTTACAAAGGTTTCAGACATTGTTTAAGCATTGTTAATCCAGGAACTTTTCAAGGAAATTGCCTTTGACTTGGGAGTAACTCTTTAAACGTGAAAATAAAAGGGGAAATGACCTAATTGCAGGCCAATTTCCATGGTTCTTAGATAGATTTATGTATCCAGCAAGGAAAAGCAGCAGTAGGGTTAATAGTAATGGTTCATTATCAGGGAAGGCTTTAAAAACAAAGAATTCATAGAAACCTTTCTGCCACGGAATTGGTGGTACACTTACAAAGGTTTCAGACGTTGTTTAAGCAGAATTTACTTCTATAAAGCCTAGAATTCATAGAAGTAGTCCTTCGGAGAGTGTTGATTTCCCAATACAGGTCAAGGTGTAATTCAGGAAACTGTTTTTGGTATTGAAAAGAAGCTCTGTAATTAGTAAAAGGCTATTTTCTTACACTTCTTGGATTACTTATTTATATATTATAATAACCAATCTCTTTCCTCCTTCCCCACTTTTAGTGGCGACACCACCGAGGCAGATTTGACCCGCGTCTTCAGCGCCTATGGCACGGTTAAGAGCACCAAGATCATCGTGGACCGTGCCGGCGTGAGCAAGGGCTATGGGTTCGTCACATTCGAAACGGAGCAGGAGGCGCAAAGACTGCAAGCAGATGTAAGTACCAGTCCTTTGACCTGTTGCTAATGTCGCCTGTTGAACGTTAAAAACAAAAAAACCAAAGAAAATTAAGACCGCGTCAGTATTATGATTTCGAAACCCGATGAAGCCAGCGAACCAACGAACCTTGAATCATTTTAAAAACCCTTCTCGGGAGAGTACCCTACAGCAGCATATCGTATATGTATATCCAACACACAACTATAAATTGTGCTCCGATCTTTTAGGGCATTACCTGACCCATCACACACAAGTACTACCTACTATGAGATGTCGGTTCCTCCTACTACTACTGATACTACTACTAAGTACTACTACTACTACTACTACCAACACTCCCCGCGGGGGGAAAATACCTCTTACGATATATAGAGTCGCCTTTTGGCGAAATATGATGATATGAAATATGATATATAAGATGATCAGATGTACCGCCTTAGGTACGGACGGCACTTTGTTCTTTTATAAATTTCTTCTTATTGCGTTTTTGTTGAGTTTACGTTTCCGAGTTACGTTACATTTCCGTTGCGTTGCCATTACGTTACGTTACATTCGATTCCGTTGCGTTCCTTATATCGTTTCATTGCCACCAAATACACTACACTCATGTATACATACACCTTACACTCACCCAGTTATATAAACCACATTAATATATACTATATATCCCCCAGCGTAGGCAGCATTATTTTCCATATTTCTTTGATCCCACACACACATACACCACAAACACACACTACACACAACCTATTGCCCGTTAAGCGTTAAGCAAAAAACAAAAAGTAAATAAAAAACCAAAATCAAATGCAAATGCAAACAATGTTGAGTTCGTTGCACCGTTTTTAATGCTCATTTTATGCAATCAATTAAACAATTAGCGTCTTTGCTCTTTTGGCTCCGTTTTTGGAGCACGGTCTCCATAGACATTATATAGACTAGACTATATATATATAGACAATACCTTAGTGCGTTGCCTTGTTGCCTTAATTCGTTTGATCCAGTCTTGAGTTCCATTTTGATTTCCATTTTCGTGTAAGAGTTGCATTGTTGGCACATCTTTTCCGTTTCGCCTAATTTGCTGATTTTTCGATCGAATCGATTGTGTATTGCACATTTTTCCCGATTGTGGAATATAATTAACGAAGCAGCGCAGCAGCAGTAATAAATAATAATCCAATTCAAATTGCAATAATTCAAAAAGAAACCACCCAGCAAGTAAAGTAAGTGCGGCGTACAAGTTCCTGGGGAATAGTATATGTCTCTCTCTCTAAAATCCCAAAGTTGGCAGTCCAATCACCTGCTCCCCAGAGCAGCCCACGCTCTTTCACCTCGAGAAAAGGTACACCGAGAAAAAAGAATCTTATTACTAATGTGCCATTTTATTTCGCCTTACGCTAAATAATTTTTAAAATTTTGTAAGAGACATGTCCCCAAAATATACATGGAAAAAGTGGTTATTCCTGGTCTAAAAGTCCCAATATAAGTAACGTTATAAATAGGTTTTCCTTATTTGAACCTCTAAAACTACTTGAGAATTATAGTGTCAGAAGGCTTGTTAATAGTTTAGCTAGCTTCCTAAAACAGCAGCTAGAATTAGTTGATAATTATAGTCTCAGAACTGGAAAATGACTGTTAATGTGCAACTTCATACTACCAAACTGGGTAAAAGGCCAACAGTTTTATTAGTTCTTATTACTGATTCATTTACTAGGCCTTAAAATTTATTTTCTCTAAGGAAATGCTAAAATCACTTGGGAATTATAGTCTCAAAAAACTATAGATTCATATCTCTGCATTTACTATTACGTTCTAAACTATTTTCCCTGTGTAGTAATAGAGGCTTGTAACCCGTCTATATAGGGTCAAGATCTGGGCTAGGTGTTCTGTTAGCTCCATAAACAGCTTACCCTCCAAGGTGGCTCATTACAAAATGAACTTGTCTGCCATATTTCGTTTTGGCATACTAATTGATTATAATTATTGCATAACCACTGGATGGCGGGATGGCCGCCAGTCGCCAGCCGCCAAGTGATGCAACTTTTACCCATTTCAGGGAAAATTCTCGTTTACTTTTTACCCTCTGTATATATGTAGTCTCTGAAGCATCCGCCCTGTGCTCGGTGGCATATTAAGTGAAAAACTTTTGCCGCTCGTCATTAATATGCATTGTTGTCGTTCTCGTTGCTCGTTGTTGTTCCACTACTTGCTCACAGAGTCTGGGCCACGAGTGTCCTTGTGAAATGCAAAGGGAGAGCAGCAGCCGTAGCAGGAGCAGGAGCAGAACAAGAACGACGAGCAAGTATAATGCCCGGCGGCAGAACAAGGATAACAACGACCACACTCTATGCAAAAGGCAAAAGCTGAAATGGGCACAGCATCAACAACAATATAACAACGACAAGTCCCTGGCAACGTTTAACCAAGTTTTAATTTACACACACACACGCGCCCAGATCCAAAAGAGGAGACACACATTACACTAATTAAATTTCATTTAGAAAAGTTTCGCATTTAGTTTTGGGGAGTTTTTCGACCACGAACTCATCAAAAGCCACAGCAGCCACTATCCCATATATGTATATATATATTCCACATCAGTACCGTCATCAGTCCCCTCCAGCTGCGAATACTAATCTCGTGTGTATATGTTTTTATGATGGCAAAAACTAATCTCAATCCCCTGATACCAATACCAATACCAATACCATTGCCACAACCATACCCATCGTCACCTCATACATGCATAATTACGCAACACAAATAAAAATACATCTAGATTAGAGCAAATTTGGTGCCCGAAAATAAACTCGAAACGCACATTTCGAATGTATGAGATTTGCCTACTCCTCCACTCCAGGAGTAAAGGAAAGCAGGCTCATTCTCATTCTCATTCAATTTTAAATCATTTTAGAGTGGACCTGGCAGCAGTAGCTGCGGTAGCCTGTGTGTTGTTGTCCTTTTTGTGCGGGGAGGCTGAAACAAAAGGCCACCGTAAAAGCCAGCCACCAAAAGGATTCTTAATTAAATTCAGTCAAGACAAGAAGAAAAGTGTTTAAGGGTAACAGAGGGGATGCAAGAAGGGGTTTCTTGCCTCCTTGCCATACGTTTCATCTTTAGTTTACTTTCTCAACCGTTGGCCCTTTGTTATGGCCCTTATCCTTATGTCGCTAGCCGAGGACGATGGCTCGAGGGCGGCCAACTCGAACATAAATGAAAAGAATGTTTGCCCAGCGGCGGTCAGAAAAGGATACGCGCGGCAAAGGCGACAGCGGCCACGGCGACGGCTCAGGTTTTCCAAGCCTCCAAGCTTTTCTTTTCATTTTCATTTTCCACATTTTTTTGCCCTTCTTCCTCCAGTTAGTTTTTTTTTTTTTTTTATATAACGTCAAAGTAGCGTCTCCTTGGCCCGCAAACATTTGCTTAGGTTAATGGTTATTACCGTTGCCAAGAGAGGTCACCCCGCAGTTCCTAGTACCCAATCCCAAGCCTCCTCCCTGCAAGGAGTCGTCCAGGCTTATCTCTTTGTGGAGCCATGTCCTTTTCATGCATTTCAAGCGCAAATCACAAGGGTATCAGGCGGGACTAATTGGCAATTAAAGATGAACTGGCAGAGAGGCAGGCTCTCTTAGTAGCAGTAGTTTCTTGCCTGAATAAGGTATTAAATGTAAATTGGCTGATTTATAGGGTCGAAGAGATTCTAAATGCATTTTTAATGGGCAAAAAAAGTAAAGAATGCGATTACCTTTTCAAAGGGATTCCTGAGCTCTCAAATTTTCTGGGCCAAAATTGGGGTTAATCTCTCTTCATTCCTTCTCTCTGACAAAACCCTGTTTATTTTAATATATATTTACCTTGGTGTTGGTGTTACATTTCACAGTTCTAATTGGTTTTTCTGTATTAAATTGATTTAATTGTCATCCAGTAGCTATACACGAGACGAGAGAAGAAACGACATGACAAAGCGAGCTTTATTTTCCAAAATTCAATTTGTTCTTTAAATGCTTTTGTGCCATTCCAGTTAATTTCTTTTATATTAAACTTATTTAAATGAGTTTATTATTCTGGTTAATGAATTTTTATGTGTTATTGTTTGTTGATTAAAATAAACATGTTGTTGATTTTTGTGCCGCGCAAAATGGAAAATGAATTAAACAAAATATAAAAACAAAACAAAACAAAAAAAGAGAAACAATACGTTGGCGATTGAAATTGCTTTTGAAGCCAAATTAAAAACCCACAGCAAAAACAGCAGATCTCTTTTTATGCAACATATGTACATGACATTTTGTAATAAACCTTACTTAATTTAAACACACACACACACCACAATATAAACACATACACCTATATATAATATATACATATATACATATAACTTTGGTAATGGTATTTTGCCTTGGCACGTGTTTCTCTCTCTCTTAGCCATGGCCGTGCCATAAAAAGCAAAAATAAAAACGAACAGAAGATATATAATAATTAAAAAAAAAAAAAAAAAGACACAAAATAAAACCAAAAGCGTTGCGCATTAATTTTTAACTATTTTTTGAGAATTTTTGATGCTGCTGCGTTCGATTTGAATTTGAATTTCTTCGTTCGGCTTGTGTGTTGATAGTGCAATATATCGATATTAATGCTCCCCCATTTATGCTTTCTTCCTCTATCTATCTTTCATTGCTGTCGCTGGCCATCGAAAACAGGGCGAGTGCGTGGTACTACGCGATCGCAAACTAAACATTGCACCGGCCATTAAAAAACAGGTGAGTAGCTCTTAGTTTTTTAATTTAGATTGTTAAACTTCGATATTGAAAAAGGATAAAAATCGATTTTCTTAAAAACTATACTTCTATAATCGATACTTGTTACAGATCTACTCGGAAGAAATTTCTGCAGTTTGTAAAATTTGCTCTTATCGTATTTGTTTGTATTAAATTATTTAAATATAAAAAAAATCGATGTTTATCGATCTACTTTAGAACTGACAATCGATAAAAGTAAAAGAATCGATTTGTATCCTTTCGATTATTTTGATAATTATTTTTATGTCATTAATTTATCATTTTCAATATATATTCAAAATATAATAAATCCAATCATTTCAGCCCAATCCTCTGCAATCGATTGTGGCCACAAACGGAGCCGTCTACTATACCACCACGCCGCCGGCACCGATTAGCAATATACCGATGGATCAGTTCGCTGCCGCCGTTTATCCGCCAGGTGAGGCAGTTGCTTCCAATGCATATATATATATATATATATATATACTACTTATATATAATCTCTCCTTGCGCTGATGGGGTCTTCATCGTTTATCTGAGTTTCACTTGGTTTTATTGACATTTGTTTTTCTTTTCTTTGTATTTCATTACTCTCTTTCTATTCGACAAAAAAAAATATGTATACTTCATCAACACCAAAAAAACAACAACAAAAACACCAACACCACCAACAACAACCATCAAATTGGGAAACAATTAACCAAACCTAGTTACTGACTTTACAGCCGCTGGAGTTCCCACAATCTACCCACCATCAGCCATGCAATATCAGCCATTCTATCAGTACTACAGTGTGCCAATGGTGAGTTTGAAATAAAGATTATAAAGTTGAAAATAAAAGCACTAAGACAGTAATATATTAAATAAGAATATCGTAAAGTCCAAATTCCTAAACCAGTTTCGTGCACATAAAGTACGATTTCCAAGTGCTATTATTTTGAAAGCAACTCTTTATTAATTTTAATATTAAATATTAATACATTATAAAAAAAATACCCTCTAATTTTGCAGAATGTACCCACCATTTGGCCTCAGAATTACCAAGGTGAGTTGAGCTAAAGCCAGCTTCTCAAAAGTATTTAGTATCTCTCGCTGGTATTTTTGTCGTTTGTCGTAGAGCCTACACATTATCGGTATTTGCTTTCTTTTCTTTCATTTTATTCTTGGCGCACCACCACAACCACCAACCACCAACCAACCACCAACAACTACAATAATAATAATCAACCATTACAAAATAGGTTAAATCAAAACAAAACAAAAAAAGTAAACAAATTTTCGTAGTCGCCAATTTTTCGTTGAGAGCTGCCCTGAATAATAAACCATAAAACTACATCAACAACAACTACAACAACTGCAACTACAACTACAACAACCATCTGACAGATGCAGATGAGAGAACAACTACAAAACGCTATATTTTACGATATATGCCCCTCCAACTCTGATCGAAACTACAACTGCAGCAGCAGCCGCACTCTCCTAGTTTATAATTTTAGTTTATTACGAATTATGTTAATGCCTATGATTTAATTTAATTTATGCTAAGTTTGGAGCTTTAGTTTTTGGCCACACATCGCATATATAATATATATGATATGTAGAGAAAAAAATATATATGAACATGTAATGTAAATTAGTTGAATGCCATGAGGGAAATTATCTATATTTTTTTGTTATCCTTCGATTCTTCGATTCCTTTCGATTTTCTGTTCGGTTTTGCTTGCTGTAAATAGCAGAGAATGATTGTAAATAGTAGTAGTAGATGGCACAAAAGCGCATATACAATGCTTAAATATGAATAATGCCTACAATCTAAATATATATATGTGTGTGTATATATATATGTATCCAACGATTTTTCCCGATTATTTTGTAGGTATTTATCCATGTTAACTTTGAGGATGCAGCAGCAACAGCAACAATAGTGATGCTACCTACTACTACTACAACAACAACAACCAGAATAACAAAGCCACAACAACAACAACAAGAACAAAACAGCTACAACAAAAGTAAACTAAAGCATAAATAGAATTTATATATATATAAACACACACATCCATGAAAAACACACCAACAGCTGCAATTTCGGAAATGTTTAGTCAAAGGAAATCGTAGAAGCTCTGGAGGAAGGACACTCACACACACACACTGAAAGCCATTGCAAACTGCTGTAAAGTAAGCAGCTTATGTTATTAAAGATGGAACCATCCTGGCTGCTGCTGCTGCTAATGTGTGTGTGGTGTGTTCTGAGTGAGTGACGGGGATAACATTTGGTCGAGGAAACATTTATGATGTGCAATTAGCGGAGGTGCAGGCAGGAGCAGCAGGGGGGCTTACCCATAAGGATAAAGTGTGTGTGTGTGCAGAGGGAAAGTCAGAAAGGCAGCTGATATTTATGGCAGAAGACAGAACTTAAACCCGTATTTAAACTATAAAAGAATAATACACACACCGTGCAGCAACACATACTTAAATATACTATAGGAAATAACTGGGAGACACACACACACACACCCCGCATACACTATATATATGGGGCAGCGATCGAAGATTAAAGACATAATATTATGCGTAAATTAATTTATATACATATACATATACAATACAATATAGAAAGCGTAAAGTAAATGTAACACACACATACAGCGATACAAAGCTACAAAAATAAGAAGACGACAAAGTCAAATACACACACACACCACACCTACGCACATCCACGAATCTCGAGCGGAAAGTCAAGGATATAATTTATTTGGAATTAATCCTTGACTCTCCGAACCGAGTTCGTGGGGTAAGTAAAAAAGAAAACTAACTTGTAAGCCAAGCAAAAGAAACTGAAACGAAATTTTAGTCTAAACGAGAATACTTACACTAAAAGCAACAAAAAAGAAAAGGTAGACACATAAGCCAAGCAAAAAGTGAACTAAGAATAAAAAATAAAAGAGAAAATACAAAAAAAAAAAAATACAATAAAGATATTCAAAATATGCTAGCTAAAAATAAAACAAATGCGAAAAACATACACACATATATTAGAGAGACTATTAAAGGAAAGCTAAACTCAAAGCTCTAGCGAAAGGAAAATAGATAAACTCAAGCAATACATAGACACTCATAGGTGTGTGTTACACAAGAATATAGTTAAATATATGTACGAAGAAAATAATATAACAATTTAATAAACTAATGTACAAGAGAATGAAAAAGAAAAAAACCAAGCAAAAGCGAGCTCTGCAAAAATGTTGATTTATCATTTTTGTTTTGTCTCTACACATACTTAAAATTCTGTTGTATCTATTGTTATGATGATGGCATCAAACTAATCAAAAAAACGAAAAGAAAAGAAAAGGCAAAAGCTAAAAACAAAAGCGATGAAAGATGTGTTAACCAAAAAATTATTTAAAGATACATTTGCGGGGGCAGGACGCGCTCTCCGGATCGGCGGCGGACCTGCGAGCGAATTCCATTCAAAACGAGAAGAAACAAAAAATAATTGGTGCATAATTTGGCTGAATGAAATACCTTAGCGGAAAATTCGAAATAAATATTTATATATATATTAACGTATATTGCCTTATTGAGACGAGAAAAACGAAATTATTTGCCCACTGTTTTCGCGAAGATTTCGCCATCGATATCGATCGTAATAAAAACCAACCCAGAGGTTTCAGAAATACCTGCTAAAACAGATGTCGCCGAGGTCAACTTGGAAAATAAGAGACTCTCGTGTGCTGCCACCGCAAATGTGTGTTTTTCTTTTTTCGGGGTAAAACTTGTTGACAAATTTTTACTAAATTGTTAAATAGTTAAATACAAAAAGAAAAACAAAACATGCATACATTTTTAAATCGAATTGTAACAATAATTAGTAATCACTCTTTGTTGAAACGCGAAGCAACACAAAATGTAATGAAATGAAAAGCAATAATTCAATAAGGCATGCTCTAGTTAAAAACTAAAAACTAAAACTGAAAAGAAAACTGAAATCAAGTCGAAGAAGCAACATAGAAACCACCAACCAGGAGAGAGTACTTACATGTATGTCAGTCAATAGGGATTTTATTTAGTTTGAAAGGCACTCGGATGATTCGATCGAGAGTCCACAATTGCTGGGAGAAAAGAAAGAGGAAATTACATTGAGTTCGATTCATCACTCTTTTTACATCCAGTACATCAAACTATCCAAACATCCCAGCAATTTAATTCTTCTGCAGACTTATCCACACAAAGATCAGATCATAAACTAATAAATCCAAGGCGTAACTTAAGTATATACGTGATATTTTGAAAATGCGAAAATTCATAAATAAATTGTTTAGGTTTAAAACAATATTAAATATATATATTATACAGATATATACATATATATACATTATAAAGATAATGCCAAGGCATAATTAAACCATAACGATTAATTAATTAAAGAATGAATGAACATTTTTGCTGACAAAAACAAACAAAACGAAACGAGAAACGAGTGTAAAATGTTTGTAAACTCAATTTATTGTACGACGGAGTTCTTAAGTTTTTACTGAACAGCAGAGAGCAGAGAGCAGATTGTCCCATCGTAAAAAATCTATTTAGTTTATATATAGTGAATATTTATATTATATATACATATATATATATTAAATGAACAAATGGCAAGTAACAAAAACAAACAAACCAACAAAAGGAAATAGCAATTAGACGAGGGTAAAGCAGCGCAGAGAGGCGAAAGTGAAGTGAAAATTATATATATATACAATACATATATATCATAGCGCAAAGAATAATATATATTTTAATGAAGGAACATCAACTGATTAAGTGCAGCTCAACTACGAGCACAAATGTTTTTAGACTAAGTACCTACCTACCTAAATGAATTCAGCAATTACATAAAAAATATATACAAGAGATGGGCGAGAGGGAGATGAGCTTCTCGCGTTGTGTAAAATTACATATATATATATACATACATGCATATTATGAAGATAATATCCCATGATCATCACAAGAAGTAAACAAAAACGAAACATATTTAACACACACACACTCACACTATACTACCTATAAATATATATAGAGATGAGAAATGAGAAAGCAGAAAAGAACGCATAAATAGCAATAACAATAAAGCAACAGCTACTTAATAATTTTAGCAAAATGCAAAACACAAAAAAACAAGATGCAAAAGTAAACAAAAAAAAAAAAACATGCCTTGGTTCGCTTTTATTTTACTTTTTAGTTGGTTATATTTTGGATCCTTCCTTCCCTACTTTAAATATATTTTTTGTACAGAAAATCACTCGCCGCCAATGTTGCATCACCATCACTTGCCATCGACGAACTCACACCAGTCGCCAACGAATTCCTGGACGGAGTACGAGGATTCGAACGGCAGTCTGCCCCGACTATAACAAAGACCCATGCCCGGCTAAGCTTTGTGTGGTGGAGTAAGAGGAGCAGAAGCAGCCGCTGGGGGGAGGGGATATCGAGATCAAGAGTAGAATCATAGGACAGAGGTAGATATAGGATCAGAACTAGTATTGGATGGATGGATAGGAAGCCCCATATCATCGATAGAACGTGGACGATGGCGATGCCAAACACTAAACCCCCCCTTTGTTAATCGTTTTGCGTTATTTGATATTTTCATTTTCATCAAGAGACACCACCACCAAGACCACCTACCAAAACGAAAGCTCAGGACCCCAGCGGGGAATCTTCGGTTTCATTGTGTTTCTGCGTTAAAATTGTTCATTTTGTTGTTTGTTCTCGTTTATGTTTTCGTTAATTTCGCAAGTTACTACTGCTAGTACTACATTTTTGGACAGCGAAAGGGTGCGTGGCAGCAAGTGTGGGCGTGCGACGACTGGAGGAGGAGGAGGAGGAGGAGGAGAGGAGCGGCCGCCGGGCCAGGCCAGAGAAGGGCACAGGATTCAGGATCAGAATATGGAGCGGGCACAAGACTCAATCTCAACAAATTCGTTTCCCCGCGCACAGAATATATATAATTGTGACCACATACCGAATATCATCCCGAGTTCAATTCGAAGCAACCGAAGCATATCCCAACTTCTTCAAAATTACCATTGTGATCACACCACCACCAAAGACCCGAATATAGTGTCCTTGCTGTCACCCGATCTGGAAATGCCTGGCCCTGGAGCGAAGACACGTACCACCTCCCAGCGATGACATTAGCATTCGTTTCGGGTTCAACTCTTACTCCGATTCATGGTACTTTTGATCGTTGATCTATGATCCTTCGTTGTTGATCCTTGGTCGTAGATCTTTGATTGTTGATCTATGATCGTTGATCTTTGATTGTTGATCTTTGGTCCTTAATCTTTGATTGTTAATCCTTGATCTTTGATCGTTGATTACAGATTGTTGATCGTTATTCGTTGATCGTTGATCGCTGTCCAATCGACCCTTGAATTTTCTAAATTTTTTGCGCTTTCCATTTTGGTATCTGTGTTAGTTTCGCGATTTTCGAATCTCGTTTTGCCAAATCTGTGATATGTTATCTTTTTTCCAAATCTATCATGTTCATGCCCAGCTTTGAAGCTAATAAAAAAATAACGAGCCCGAAACAAAAGCGGAACCCTGGTTTATTAACTTTGGTTTTATTTTTTTTTCAGTTTATTATTATTATTCTTTCAGTTCTTCCTGATCAAGTGTAGCATACTTTCCAGGTGCTGCGAAACACAAAGAGCAACGAATCTTTCAGTAGCAAATGAGGACTAAGAAGGCTAAAATCAAGTAGCAAAAAGCGCGAATCGTTAAGATATGAATAAAATAGTTGAATTAAACGGTTGTGTCAAATTAGCTCTAATCTCAAAAAGGTCGATGACAAAAGGCGCGGCAATTTATTAGGACTAAACTTGTCTAAACTCTAAATGTAGTTCAATTACAAATTATTTGCTAAGCTCGCTCCTATCTCTCTCTCTAACTACCGTGTGTAAACTTAATCTTCCCGAGTACGAGTAATTATAATCTTAAAAAAAAAAACAGAGGCATACTAAACTACATACACTTAGATGATCTGATAAGCATGCAGACATACATATATATATATATAAAATGTACAAGAACAATATATCTCTCGATGGCGTCTCAACAACACAAAGGAAATCCGTAATCAGATACCAAAAATTATAATATTTACGAGGGAGGGATTTAAAGGTAAAGTAATTGGAATGGCAGAACATTTTTACATAAGAAAAATGCATTTTTTAACAAACGTCTACGTGTGAATTGAATAAACCTTGTATGTGTATACACGCATATATATTATATACATTTTATTAAATATATATATATATATATATATGAATATATATATATGTATATGTAAAGCCGAGCAGCAATTTTTTATAACAAGAAGCGGCCCGAGAGAGCAGCGGTGAAAGCGGAGGGCAGGCAGAGCAGAGCAATACCAACCCAGCCAGCCAGCCAGCAGGAGGCCCACTGTGCGCACTGCGCATGCGGCCCACTGTGTGTGTGTGTGAGCGTTAAAACGTTTTTTGAAGTAAAATTTAATTTACACAAGACTGACGCTAAAAAAATAACTAAGAATATTAAAAGTGTACTAACCGTTTACGAATTTTTCAAAATGCCACACACACGCCCTGGAGGGTCGGAGGCCAAGGCAAGGACTTGCAGGATTCGGATTTGGAGAGGGAACTGTGTAAGGGGCGCCGCTTTGTATATGGTTATATTATATTGTACTTAATAAACGGAAAACCTGAGATATATATTATATATATTTATATTTACAATAAAAAGCAAAAGGAAAGAAAAAACCCAAGCATAAAAACTAAACCGAAAATACAAGAGCATAAATTATAAACATTTAAAACGGAGCGAAATGAAATTAATAACGGTAAATAACAAAATATACAGTGTTATTTTTATTTTTATGATATTGTACTTACATTAGTAACTTAACGAATATAAAACGGCGCAGCAATAATATAAATAAAGTAATTAGCAACCAGAACTAGGCAGAAAAACCCCACAAGATGAAAATGTGATGAATATTGTATAGAGAAGATTGAAAAGTCCCCATTGTATCCTCCAGCAGAGACACGAAATAAGTATGCGTTCTGGGATCGATTCAGATTCAGCCAGGTATTAATTATAAAGAGATCCTTATTTCGGAAGGCAATTGAGAAAGAAGAAGCTTGGAGTGTAGGACGAGCCTAAGAATACAATAAACGTGCAACGAACTCTTTTAGATTAATCGATTAATCGAGGGGCAGCCCTGATAACACACCCACACACCTAGGTGCATTACATAGCCGCTGCTGTCCCTTAGCGATCCATTATTAGGTCCTTAGTTCGGTAGAGGTCAGCATTAACCCGCCACCAAATCTGTTTTCGGATCATTGTTGTCAGCAAAAGTATCTTTTTCGATTAACGATTTCTAATTACGATATATCGCGATATATACAGAGCAATTTCTAGAGCGAGAGGCTAATAAAAACATGGCAAATGGTGAAAAGCAAAACAACAACTAAAACGAACTAAAAACAAGACGGTTTTTCTAACAATGTTGAAAGCGAAATGTGTAGGAAATATTTAACCATATATACAAGCATATATAAATTGTAGCTAAAATGGTTTCATGTAAACGAAATTGTTGAGTATTTTTAGTCAAGAGTACACACACACACACACACCATAAACACACACAAACACCGAAAGACAAACTGAAGAATTTACTAAAAGAAACGACAGAGAAATTGTTAAATTTTAAATGCAATTTTATTGCTTTAATTTTCGATTCATTAGTCGACCTTGTTTCGTCAGACATTTGCACAGAATTTCGTTTACTGCCTTCTGCTGACAAAACTGTCCATTAAGCCCGTTCCATATTCCATTTGAGTTGACAAGAAACCCATTATCCTTGCCCCAAAAAAACCGAAATTCTGTTGCAAATTATATACACACACATTTGTACATGTGTAGGATAAATAATAATAATAAAAAAAATTAAATCGAAGTGCAAGTTGCACATTGTGAGAAACTGTGCTGAAGCCGAGATAAGGAAGCAGGATAATACACAAGTAGAGGAGAGGATAGTGAGGCCGCGATCTAGACACATACCGAATACCGATACCAATACCGATACCGATCACCGATACACCTATGTTAAGCCAATTAAAGCGCCCAAAAGAAAAATACATAGCAAGATTAGCCGAAGAGTAACGAGTAAAGTACTAGACAAATTATACTTTTAGCTAAACTCAAGTGGAAAAAAAACAACTAAAAAAACGAAAAAGAACTAAGAAAATGTATCCAAATTCTTCCGTAAAAGAAAACAACATTTCTAGTAAAAACAATTTACCATACATAAGAGTCTATATATACATATACTATATACTGAGCAGCATAAAAGTAGAGTCAAGGAAATACGTAATGCAGACGACACAGAAACACATAGAAACAGAGGGCCGGAAACGGAAACGGAACTGGAATCCGGAACCGGAAACGAATGAATTACAGCCCACTAAAGAAAAGATATCAGCAAGGAGATTGCAGAGGGCGCTATAATATAACGAGGGAAATTAGATCAAGAGATAGACGTAGGCGTAGCGGTAGCACGGGGGACGATTATAGAGAAAAACCCAACTGATCTCTACTGTGTTCTTCTATGCTTTAGAGGGGACATAAGTAAAGTAACTTAATTCAACTTGGAAAACCAAAGTATTACAATTTTGAGCTGCAATATTTTTTAATCAAAAACCAAATACCAGAAGGAAGAAAATAAGAGTAATAAAAACAATGGTAAAATACAAAAGATAATAATTAATATATATTTTTCTCTTTTGAGATAAACCAAACGAAAACTGTTTTGATGTGAATTGAGTTAGGCAAAAACCAACAAATAAAAAACGAAAGGTCATATAAATAAACAAAATAACACAACATATTCCAAAAGAAAGTATCAAAACGGAAACCAAAGCTAGCTAAGGAAATGCACAAAGTTTTGTGTGTATTTTTTCGGTTTTTATTCATGTGTGTAAATCTTCCGTGTGCAAAAAAAGAAAGAAAACAAAAAATAAATTGAAAACCAGAACTACACTACACTACAAGAGCAAAGCCAGACACTAAGCCCAACTGAAATTGTCAAATATGAATAAATATATATGAGGTCTATATGAGTATATATTTAGATAACAATTATATTATATATATACATATATATATTATATACATACATGTGTGCAAATTATTCAGATCCATCAAAGTACGATGCGGAAAAGTCTCTATATATATATTTAGTAAAATTATAACGAAAGAAAAATGAATACGTAGTACAACGGCAAGCGAAATAAAAAGTATAAAGCAAAACATATAAGAGAACACAAAATTCGAAAAAAAGGAAAAAAAACCAAGATAATTAGCATAAAAAAATAATTATTTATAAAGGCTGTAATTTTAAGTAAAGAACAACCCGATAAACATAACGAAAACAAAGAGGAAAATTAAACAAAAAAAGCGAAAAGAAAACCAAAAATTTAACGTCAACATATTTCACCCACAAAGCAAATTAAATTAAATTAAACTAAAAAAAAAAAAAAAAAAAAAAAACGCGAGAATATACTATAACAAATAAGTAAGAACGATATCTAAAGAAACGAAATTATAAAACTAAATGAAAAATTATATATAAAATAATTACATACAAAAGGAAGTAAAGCATAAACATAAAACCCAAGAAATTATATATATACGAGAACTCAATGTATGAAATAAAAATATAAAACTAAATAAATAAAATATTAAAAAAGGAATAAACCGAATATTACAAAGTTCTGCTGTTTCTTTCTTTTCATCGATTGCCGATCGATTGATGTCATTGCCCATTCGAGTTAATGATTTAATGACGCAGAAAAACGACGCAATATATTCGTGTAAATACTACGCGCTAGAAAGCATTTGCATTTATTTTTTAATCTTTGTTATTATTTTTAATGCCAAGGTACATGACAGATCGAAGCGCTGGCTTCGTTTTGGATTCGATTAACCCTACATATATCGCCTTTCAAAATACTATACACAATAAATACAAAGTGCACGCAAAAAAAAAAGAGGAGAACTACATTAGGAACTTGTCATTAGGGCGGAAACTGGAGTACTTTGGATGTCTGCTCAATCCCGGAGGAAGCTGCGATTGTACTTCTGCAGCCGGACACTCTGGGGCGCCTTCTGGCTGCGATCGAACTCGCAGAACTTGTTGGTCTTCACCATCCTGGGATTGGGTCCAGCGGAGGTCCTCCAGTAGACCGTCTGTACGGCATTCCTGCCGGCAATGTAGCGGGTGGTGGCGCCCACCAAGTGGTTCACTTTATTGGCAGCAGACATCTTGTAAGTTGAGTTTTGTTCTTGTCTAGCTTTTAATTATCACAGTTGGGTTGCTCTGGGGCTGGGATTTGTGTAGTGGTTCTGTCCGGCGTCTCGCTGGTTCAACTCATGGGCGCGCACGATTCGTTTCTGTGGCCCCAGCTCGCTCCGGATCCGGTATTTATAGCCGCGGCGCATGGCGACATGGCGATGCCTTATCTCTGGACACAAGACTATCTTTTAAGTAGTAGTTCGCAGCTTATCAGGCGTTCGGATGATGGTTGGCGGTGCCCAAAGGGTTGCTAATTGATTAGCTTATGACCAGGTTATTGTTTTTTCGTTTCTGTTTTCAGGCATTGCAACTGCAACGAGGAGAAATGCGACGTATTTTCTGGCCAAAGTTTGTTGGCATTTGGCAAATGGACTTGTTTACGGCTGTCTAGAGTCTAGACCCTAGGTGGGTATCCGTAACCGAAAAAAGGAGCAGAAATGCACTTCCGAGGTGCTGGCCAAAGTCCAAAGACTGATCTCCACAGCTGTGCGCAATATTGCACAATTGTACAAATACCCCTCAGCCGATGACGTAAATCATCATTAAAAAGTATGTACAGTCGGGCATCTGCGACTCGAACTGACCTAATTATGCCACTCTAACCTATTTTCTGGGACAGCGACTTAGCGGGGGTTATCAGGGGGAACTTGGGGGGAATGAATACCTAATGTTATTAATATATAAATAAATTTGAATTATACATTTACTTTTATATTGTTATAGTATTTGGTGTTATCTCATAATCCTTGCGATTAAATATTTGTTATTAAGAAAGTATTATTAAATATGTATTATTAATTTAACTATTACCTTTAACTATTTTTAGACACTTGTAAATTCAATGAAATGCCCAGAGAATTTTATAATCTGCTGTATTTGAACTATTTTTAGACATTTTAAAATTATATTAAAATTTTAAGTCTCAAGATACTTCAATAAATAGAAAGCTTTGTAAAGTATGCACCAATAAATATATATATTTTTTAATATTAATAGGTATTTCCTTAATAATTTATAAGAATTCCCAAGTTTAAAGTCTCTTTTCAAGTAAATATATAGACACAACTTTAGACTTGGTTAAATAAAACTGAAATTATCAAGACCTAGGTCTCCAAACTTACATAAACCTGCACTTGGGTGAATTGTAACCATGGCTAACCGTACTCGTAGTAGATAATAAAGCTAAGATAGACAGACTTGACAATTGTTTGCTGTTTGTCTGAGAATCCTCCTTCAAAATAAATAGAAAAATCGTTTGTTGTAGGTCATGTTCGGCTTAGAGATGTTCGACTGTAAGTGACACATTTTCCAGACAAATTACGCTGGCTCATGGCATCGAGAGAGGTCAGATCAGCCTATTTAGACACATCCTGCTCGCTAGCTTGGACCTGGGACCCTAAGATATGTGCATATATGCTGCGTTCTTTTGTAATACTTACTATCATGAGCACTCTACGTGTGCTCTCTTATCAGGCAGCGAGGCGGCGTGCGGCTGGTGAATTAATATTATTATTATTTTCAAAACAAAAACGTTGTCGAGTTTCTATGACTGCAATCAGGCGTTGTAAAATCCGGCAGAAAGTGTGCGGGCGAAAAATCGAAAAGTCAACAATAACAATGGCAAAAACAATAACAAAAAAAAAAAACAACAACAAAGACCGATGATGACCGCACTTCAAGTTCAAGTGCGAGTCAGACTCAACGGGGGCAAGATGAATAATCTGACCGATCTAGCCCTTATCTATTCCCTGGCACGTTGTCTGCTGGTGCTCGAATGCAATGGGTTTCGTCATGCGAAGGGACATTAATCACCGGAATCATTGGGGAATATTTTTGTGGCCGAAACTTTTCCACAAACAGAGAGTTTGAAGAGAGATTGTTTATTTTCTTTTTTTTTACGAGTGCCAGTCCAGCGTAGACTGTAGACTGCTTAGGCTTTCTCAAAGCTGATAGCTTATCAACAAAGAGGAACGAATTAAGAACCCAAAACAGAACACTCGCCAGACTTGTGAACTTTGAAAGGTAATATCGCGTGAATTTGGAACAAAAAACATGAGGCTATCGACCATGCTTGCTGGGGGTTCCCTCAACCCGGCTATAATCCATTATCAGCTAGGAGAGCGGTTGCCTAGGCCTGATAAGGGGCATCTGTTTGATAGTGTAATATAACCGAGGAATGTTAACAACGTAATCAGCGACACTGGCATTGGCTTTTGTGTGTGACTGTATCAACGCGGCGTATGAGCAATATGTATGTACTCATTTTTTGGCAATCTCCAGGCGTTGCCTACTTTTGGGCGTTATGTCTTAGAGAGAATAAAGGTTCTTCTCTCTGAATTAGTTCCGGTGAATTAGTAATACCAAAAATTCCAGACGCCGGGTTGAGATCCCAGCTAATTGAATTAAGAATTAATTAAACACTTAACGCCTACAACTAGACAACCGGCTAATGCCCACTTCAGTACCGTTCCCGTCTCCTCGGTAATTGGGTTTAATTGACAAGACAAGCAATTAAAAGCGGAAGCACTGCGAGTACAGCTCGATTTGGTTAGTTTTTTCGGGGAGTGCATCTTGCCTCTCCCTTTCTCTGTATTGCTTAAGTAATTTACACATAAATTAACGTAATATGGCTGGACTCATTGAAACCGCTGCTGTCTGGTGTGAGAGAGATCACTTCGATCAGTGGCCACGTCCCCAGAAGAGGCGTCCAGCTAGCAGCAGGCCGAAGAGGGCGAAGAGGCTTCCTCCCAGCCGCCCACATCCATTGCAGACCTTGCGAATGGTTTCCGTGTAGAGGCCGCGGCGGGAAAGCAGATTTCTGATGCTGCGCAGCTCCTGGAAAAGGGGAAAGAAAAATAGGGAAAGGCGTAAACAAATTTGTTATTGTTTTCAGAAAAAATGCAATAGAATTGCAACGATTTGCGTGCCATTTTGTTATTAACTTACTGCCCAGTCACCTCTTTTGACCTTGTATTTATAAACAAAATAATAATGAAAACTTGCCTCGTACGCAGGGAAATTTATATTGTAAAATGTTATTCGCAATTTAATTATTGCAATATTTTATTGGGATTTTTAAAACTCATTGAAATTTTACTAATTAATTAGAGAAAATAATGAAATTCATTTGAATGAATGAGTTTAGAAATTATTTAAATTCCATTTCTTTTTAAAATGTAAATCAATAAATAATTTATTTAATGTTCACAAAACTATTACTGATAGAAATATTCCAAAATAAATATTTACATGTAAGTAAAGGTTTCCAATTAAAAAAATAATTTTTTGTAATTAAACCCGGAAAATAATATATGTAAAAATTGATATCTAGCACATTTATATTTAGATAAGCTTTCGCCATTTGTTTGACGAATTTTCTATAAAAAATAAATATGTGAAATATATAAATACTGATAAAGATTTCTGCGAAAATATAGTTTTCTGAAACAAACGCTTTTTTTGTTTTGATAATTTGCTTTTCAGAATTTTTCTTAGAAGCAGTATTTTTCTATTTTTCTATTTATAAGGAAAACTTGTTTACGCTTTATCAGTAATAACTAAAATTTTAAAAATGATATTTTTAGGTATATTATAATTCAATACATTTTCAGACAACACAGAAAGCTATATAAATATAACACACAATAGCTTGCCTTTCCCTTGATAAGAATCTTTCTCTCACAAGACAGAATTAAACAATTAAACGTTATTATTAACTCAAGTTTTATAATATGTACTTCTTTCTACAATAAGCTAAAACTGAAGCGGAAAGTTTAAAAATCTTCAACTACAAGAGATCTTAATTTATAACCAATTAAATTTGGTTTTCTGTAATAAAGTTAGGTATTCTAAACCGAGACGAAAATGTTAAATAAATTAGAGATGAGTTTTTGCTTGCTCGAGGTCTTAGCTTTTCCGATATCTCCGTTTCAGCGCTTAATTTCTTATTATAAATTTTATTTATAAATAAACAAAAGTACTCACATCTGAACTGAGTCCCAGGCGATTTCGGGTCAGCACCACCGTGTATATGGAGCTCTTCATATCATTGCCGCAAAAGGTGAGGACGAGGTGATCGTTGACGGCCTTGACCACTTGGACGGTGCCGGTGAACTGGGTGTAAGAGTTCAGGGAGACCAGAGAGCCCCGCTGATCGCCAATGTTGGACCACTGCCCAGGGGCACTTGTGGTGTAGTTGAAGGTGTACTCCAGATTGTTATCCCGCTCGCTCCACACCAAACGCAAGTACTTCTGCTGGCCCTGATTATATCTCGTCTGGTACTCATCGCTGTCCAGATAAGCGGGCGAAGGTGTAGTGGTGCGTCCAAAGTGGTTCTGGTTCCGGTTGTATTCCTGATTTCCGCCATAGCCGCCATATCCGCGGGTGGCTTGTGTAAGGCGAACCTGTTTAATTAAAGAATTACCTGGGATTTCCTGGATTTTTTATTTTTTATAACTCACCTGTTCTGTGACATCGGCCAAATGAATAATCACACAGGAATCGTACTCGTAGATACCGGGAAAGTCTTGGCTGTGCACAATAATCTCGCTGCCATACCAGAGACCCATTATCTATATGGATGGATGGATGGATGAGTGGATGGTTGGAGGAGAACGGGAGGCTGGTCATTATTACACACTCATATGTAAAAGCGAATGGGGGTCATTTGTGCGATTTGCATGCCACTTGCTGTGCGTTCAATTAAATGGGAAAAAATAATAATAAAGTGCCGCAGCAGGGCTGGGTGGCTGTCGTCTACAGCATTGACATTGGGCGCACTCTGGGCGCAAAGGGTTAATTAGAACAAATCAGCCCTAATTGCATTACCCGCTTCTTTGAATTTAAACTAGTCTTTGAAATATTGACAAGGCCTGCAGGAAACTGATAAACCTTGACTCTATAATATGATCTCTCACCTGATCTAGATCCACCGAGTTCTGGGGATTTATATTCATGCAGCGCAGCTCCGAGTTGCTCCTCTGAGTGGTGGAAATCGATGAGGGACTTCCATAGTTTCCATACTGCTCCACTGCAGTTCCGGCAACGAGGCCGCAAAAGAGGGCAAAGATGGCCAAGGACTTGCTGCACATTTCGGGAGGTTCTGCTTCTTTTTTAGACACTGACAAGCGATCTGTTCCGGATGAAATCTCACGATCAACTAACAACGAATCCCAACGTTTCGAGCTTAACTCAGTCCGGCGATCGCACTCGGCGAGATGAGATGAGGAGCGAGATAGGCGAGGAACCGCCCGAGTTTACTCTTTCGCTCATAAAATGCCAAAGTGAAAAATAAAAAAAATAATGAACAGAGAGCCACTGAGAAACGCAGGCTCAAATCACACAGGGAGAAAAGGAACATGACAAAAATAAGCTTTAAATTTATATTATATGCCATTTAACATTAAAACTAAGAAATCTAAAACCTGTATTTCAATAAACAAATCGTGTTTGTGATCAAATATTTATTTTTAGTCTATTAGATCACCCAAAAACAAAACGCAAAAAAGCTTATCATAGCTGCATGCATCAATAAGTTATAAATAACTTTAAAATATTATAGTAAATATATTCACGTTATTAGTTGGGTTTTAAATTAGGAAAATAATCCTATACATTTTGCCTATTTAAAGTCATTATAAACCATTAGCTTAAATATTTTTTATATTATACTGAAGGACTAAGTCGTGTTTTACTAATAAATTACAGAATTTTAAGTAAATTAATAGTGCTAAACGTTTTTATATTCAGTTTATTTCAGAATGTTTAGTTAAAGGTTCCTCAACAATCCTTCATATTCCCCCCATAATTCCTTCTAAATTTTTACTCAAATTTGCATAAGCTCTTTGCTTATATCTGCTACTTTTTCCCAGTGCATTTTGGGGCAAATTGTTGTATTAATTAAGTTAATTGTAGCGCTTTCCAAGCTGATCATCCAATCGCGCGTGCAACGCCCGCACAATACACACAATACACTCACGAGAATGCGAGTAAAAGGCGAGTAAAACGCAAACACAGCGCGTAAACAGCCCCCTTTTGCAGCCCAGTAGCAGAGGCCGACTGCTGCTCCCCTTTGACCCCGCTGGTGTCCGGTGTCAATTGAGTGACCAGCAATTGATGATGGCCCAAAAAGCAGAACAAGGCAGCTCGGTGAGAACCGAGTGACTCGGATTCCCAGCTCTCTGAATGGGATGAGTACGATGAGTAGCTGGAAGAGCACTGCAGACTTGTGAATTAAATCATTGTCGTCCCATGTTGTTGTTTGTTGTGAGTTCTCCCGGCTAAAGCTCTCATTGTTGTTGTCCGTTTTATTAGCATTGATTATGGATTTAATTCACTCTTTTCGTGTGAGCAAATAAATGTGGAGTGCTGGCTGATGTAAATTTATGTAATTAAGGGGGCCCTTTTTGACTTAAAAACATTTCGTTTTGAGTAGTTTGAATTTTAAATTGTACGTATAAACTGAGATATAGTTCAAGGGGGATAACTGTTTATCCTTTCCTACCGTAAGTCCCAACTAAGAAAATTATATCCTAAATAACTGTCATAGCTGTTTGAACTTTCACCAAACGAATAGGAAGCAGCCAATTATTTTTAAGCTCCCATAAACCTATAAAAAACGTAATAACTTATTAATTATTATTGGCACTAAATTAGTTCCGCCAGTTATAACACATTCGTAAAAATATTCAAAGCACTTTCAAGCAATTTTAGTGTCTATAATAACTCACACCAAAATTATTCCACACATTTTTATAAACTTCTGATTTATTTTGCAAATTCACTTACAAAATTCTTATAAAATATTCGTCATGTAAAAAGAAGGAAATCAGGAAATGAAACTCCTTTAGAAACGCTGCATGCTTTCATTGATTTTCTCATAGATCCAATCGATATAATGATTGACCCGCACATAGACACCTGGCCGGTTCTTATAGCCGCAGTGCTGGCCCCACGATATAAGGCCATACAAGGTCTCGCCATCTGTGAATAAATAGGAAAAAGTAATCTCAAAATCATCTCAGTTATATTTTAAATATATAAGAAAGTATACCGTCATCGGGGCAGACCAGGGGACCGCCTGAGTCACCTTCGCAGGCGTCCACACTCTCGTCCATGAAGCCGGCACAGAACATGCCTGAAATTGAGTGGAAAACTTGAGGGGTTAATTCCTGCACAAACTGGTCTAAAACGCTCAATGCGAATCTCTATAATTAAACGGTCCAGTAATCATAATAGTTTAATTTCCTCACACCTTCTGACATGGCTGAACCATACACATTTGATTGCTTGCAGACGTGATCCGGAAGAATGGGCAGCTCAGCGGAGCCCAAGACTTGGGCGGGAGCTAAAGGAACATAAATAAAATAATTATTAGTCAAGGTGTATATAAAATATACAAAAAATTTCTTACTAGACACTCCAGCCTTAATGGAACCCCAACCGGAAATCGTGCAGTTACGGTTTTCCACCAGCTCGCCATTCTTCTCCGGCAGGCAAATCGGCTGGACATAGTCACTGAACTTCAGAGGAGTCTTTAGGACAACCAAGGCAATATCATTGTTCATGTGCGTTCCCTTGCGGAACTCCTCGTGTATGTACCAGGTCTCAATGAATGTGTCCACTTCGGAGGACTCGGCTATGTTGGCATAGTGGTCGCCCACGCGAACAAAGTAAGCTCCCTTTTGCGTTCCATACACACAGTGGGCAGCAGTGAGGAGGTGACGCTTGGAGATCACCACGGCTCCACACCAATGGCTAGAGATGTGACCGCGTCCCCGAGTTCTAATGGTGGCCTGCCATGGGTGACGACCACGCTGCGCCACATTTCCCCGGACCACGCGCTCCTCGTGATGGGCATACTCATCGGTCAGGTCATCCTTGAAGATTCCACAGCGTCGGGGTGTGCGCAGAGCCTTGCTGGAACGCTCCCACAGTCCGATTTGATTGTAGGATTTCGCTGCACTCTCCTGCCGACCGCCTTTTATGGGATTCTGCGATAACTTCTGGCTACGTGGTGGGGGTCCAGCGGTGCAGTGCAAGGCCACATCCTCGGTGTGATTGCAGTTGTTTTCGCCCCAATTCCAGTGGCTGCACTTGTCTATACCCGTCTCATTGCCGAAGCACATGACCTGGTCCAGCCAAATGGGACCATTGCCATTGCCAAAGATGTTCTTTTCGATGGTCTGAGTGGAGGTGATTAACAAGGTTTAATAATTTTTTAAAATAAAATTAATAAAGCTTAACATTCTCACCGCTGGTCCATAGAAACCCATGGAGTTGCAGGCCACTTGGGCGGACTTCTGGTTAAAGTCATCATCGCAGACACTGCCCCAGACGCCATGGTACTTGACCTCCAGACGGCCCTCGGTGGGGCTGCGTCCGCCCTCCAGACGATACTGAACGGGAGCCTATTAGGAAAAGGTAAGGATGGTAGTAAATGACAGACATAATAATTATATAAATTTCAGAATAATAAAATTTATTCTTTGAGCGATTAAATAAATATAAAATTATAATTATATCTTAAACTCAACAGACAATCTCTAAAAATGTATCGTTATTTTTTCACTTATTATCATATCGGTTCCTTATAAAAAATAATAGTTTTAAGACACCTTCAGTCTCATTAGTTTTCATATATCATTCATATTTTCTCTCATATTTCTTCTACAAAAGTTATTACTCGTAGTTTCCATCATGGAAAACCGAAAATGCAAACCCACCTGACAGACGGCAGCACATTCGTCTGACTTATCCGCACAATCCTCGGTGTTGTCGCAAACAAAGGCCGGCGGTATGCACTCCTTGGAGGTGTGGCATAGCCAGTAGTTGTTGGGGCACTTCATCACCGGCACCTTGCAGATGACGCCCGCCACCTCGTCGACGCCGCAGTTGTGAACGCCCCAACCCTTAAAGGGGCACTCGCTCAGCTTCGTTTCGTTGCCGCGACACTCGACCTCATCCATCACATAGTTAAAATCCTGATTTGGCGGAGCATAGAAAGAGCTTCCGCGCACCTCCTGGGCACCCATTGGGAAGCCCAGTTCCCGGCACACAACATCGGCGTCCTTAAGGCCGAACTTGTCATCGCAAACATAGCCCCACTGGCCATTTGCTGAAAAAGGATTAAGAGGTTTCAGTAGAGTGTCAAAAGCAAATTCGAGAAATCAACTCACCTTTGACTTCAATGCGCCCCATGTGTGGTTTTTCGCCGCCCGTTAAGCGCACTTCGTAGTCCCTGGGTGGGCAGTTGAGCTCGTCCTTGCCATTGTCACAGTTCTTCTGGCCATTGCATACCTGCTCCTTCTTCAGGCACTTGCCATTTCCACAATCAAACTCGCAATCTTCGGTGAAACTCGAGCGGACACCAACTTTGGGAGTCACTTCCTCGGCATTGGGATTGGGTTCCCAATCCTCCTCCTGCTCCTCCTCCGGCTGGTGGTCTGGCTCAACGGCCTTGGGGAAGGGATTGGGCAGCTCTGGGTGGCGACGATGGAAGTCGGCACTGTGCTCATGATGGGGATGATGTTTTTGGTGGTGGTGGGGCGAGGGATAGGGATTGTGGTTGGGATAGTGCTTCGAGAACGGATCTGGTAGATTTGGATGGCGCCGGTGGTAGTCACGACTGTGACCAGGCGCATGCCAATTGTTTGTTGCCGTCGTTGTAGTTGTTGGGGTCGTGTCAATCATGGCCCGGCGGGTGCTCCGGTGGAAGTTTGTCGAGGAGTACGTGGAGCTGGGATCTAGGGTCTGCTCGGTTCGGGCCGTCTCCCTGGCATCTGGAAAAACATAGTCGTCGTCAACGGAGTCCAGGCTCTCCTGTTCCCCGGCTTTGATCAGTTCGGCGTCGTAGTCTAGGTCGGGTTTGGAGGGAGGAATTGGAGTGGTACTCCGGGTAGTGGTACTCCGGATATTGGTGCTCCGAGTTGTGGAAGTGGTGGTGCTGGGGGTGGTAGTTGGTGGTTTGCTAATCACCGAAACAATGGCGGATTCAGCCTGCTTGGCCAGCTTCTCTTGGGCATTGCCACTGTGATTGAAATAGGGACGCAGCATGAGCTTAAGAGCCTCCTTCATGGCCAATTCAGAGTTGGGATCAGCGCCTGCTGGAGACTTCCCAGAGTTGGGACTATAGAACTTGTGGTCAAAGGGAGGTGGCACTAGAGCACTTTTCTGTGTTGTGGTTGTAAAGTCATCGTCGTCATAAAAGGACTCCTCCTCTTCGGGATTAAAGGGATCGGGCTCATAAGTCGGCGTCTTAGTCACCACAGCTGGCACTTTGGCCCAGGAAGCATTTCGAGAATGCGAGATCCCAGCATAGGAGGGGCTGTAATGGGGGTGACTGGGATTCCGCGGAGGAGCGGTTCCATTACCCAAGGGAGGATATATGGGAAAGGTGTGCAGTCTGCTTCCCAACTGCGGCAAGGGAGTTTGCGATGATGGTGTGGGAGTAGGTGTCGGTGTGGGAAAAGGAGAAGTTTTTGGATCAGTGGGAGGATCTGCTCTAGGAGGCAAGAGACCGCCGTATAGATTAGATTCATTTGACAAGGGCAAAGCATTGGATCCCTGTGGATCTTCTGGTCTGTGCTGATTTGGAGGACTCCTGGGATCATAGTTAGAAGGAACTGGTGCTTGCCCAGGCTGTAAATGACTGCCTCTCGGTGCCGTGCCACTGGGCAACTGATCTGGATAAAAGCGGGGCGGTGATCCCGGCAAAGGGGGCGACCCCTGGGAGGGCGGAACTTCGTCATAGGGATCTTGGGGTTTCTGTTGGTCATCGTAGTCCAGGTCAAGGGGCCTCTGTCCTGATAGAAGAGGATTATAGCTTGCGGGTTCTCTGCTAGCACCAGGAGAGGCGGGATTTATGGGTCGTTGTCCACCCAGAGGAGCAAGTGGTGGCATGGGTTGCCAGCCGTTTCCCGGCGAGCCGTGATCAATTCTGCGGCTATATCCTTGGCGAGAGGGAACTGGCCTTTCTCGCTCTGGTTCCTTCTCCTCCAGAACGGGTTGGGCATAGTAGACCTGGCCAGGATTGCTGGGTGCAATGGGCGCCATGGGGGCCAGAGGTGTCTTATAGGTACTATGATATTTACGGTTCGGCTGCAGCGATCCCTCCACATAGAGGACATTCTGGGAGGGTTCACGCTGAACGTAGGAGCTTTCCTGGCCAGACCAGGATCCTTGCTGATGATGAGGGTTTTGCTCCAACCCGATGCCTGCTGGTCGCTGCATATTCATATCCCTCCAGCGATCGCCTTCGCTGATCACCCGAGTTGTGGTTGTCGTCTTGGTTGTGTAGCGATTGCCCCACTGATCGCGGCCAGAAGTCTCGTAGGACTTCGACTGTCGATTGTCTGAAAGCAGAGAGGGAAACTTAAAAAGAGCGAGACTTGGTCCCAGGGGTTAGTAACCATTGGAGGGAGCTATCCAGCCACCGGATGTGCCCTCTACCCGAACCAGATAATCGGACCGATCGTGGCTCGGCAGCTTCTCGTCCAGGACACACAATCTGCGCGAGACGCTGAAAATTTGTTGGCTGGGACAGTCGTAAATCGCGGCGTGCCCAGGCTCGCAGCGGAGATATTTGCTGGACACCCGAGGATGAGGCAGTGAGCCAGTGATGCCTTCGGGACAGGCGGGCACAGCGCCCTCGGCCATCATCTTCTGAGTCCAATCGTAAATGATGTGCAGCTCATTGAGCGTGTATAGGCGATCCTCACGCTGCACCTGTCCCTGGGGCTTGCAAATTCCATGAGACACACTAAAGTGCTGCTCCTCCGGACAACTAAGCAGAGTCATGCCATTGGGACCGCAGCTAAGATACTGGGAACAGTCAAATGGATACACATAGAAACCAATGGCCCCACGGGGACAGCCCAGAACTGCAAAGGAAGATTGATCAGGAGCTAGTCTTAGCCCTAGGTTTTCTCCACTCACGATCCTCCTGCTCGGATTGTTGCTTGACGAACGGAATGCGGTCTGTGGCGACCACCAGATGCTCAGGCAGACAGTAGCCACGCGAAATGCTGAACACGTCGAGGGGCAGACACTGCCTGACCAGCGTGTGACCCTCAATGCAGGTCAGGTAGCCCATGGCGTCGAAGGGATTGGGGAACAAGCCGTTGACCCTCTGCGGACACATCAGAGGAGCCGGCGGAGCCGAAGGCTGAACTCCTCCTGGATAGTAGGAGGCTCCACCTTGTGAGTAGGGTCCGCCAGCTGATTGATAGCCTCCCGTAAATTTATTAGTCGTTTGGTATCCTCCGTTAGGTACAGAAGCGCCATGAGATCCACCTTGCGCTTGGGAAGACCATTGGTATCCCCCATTATTTTGGGAATATGGTGGATATCCTCCAGTAGATTGGGAAGGCTGTTGGTAACCTCCAGAAGATTGATGAGCTTGTTGATAGCCTCCAGAGAATTGAGAAGGCTGTTGGTAGCCTCCAGAAGGTTGAGCAGATGGCTGATAGCCTCCAGTGAACTGAGAAGGTTGTTGGTAACCACCAGAAGTTTGAGTATTTTGTTGGTATCCTCCGGAATATTGAGGTTGTTGGTATCCTCCAGTGACTGGCGACAAAGGCTGGTATCCAGCCGACGAGTGGGGTGGCGGCTGATATTGTCCAGTTGGCTTAGCAGGGGACTGGACACCTCCAATCGATGGGGAAGGGTAAGAGTAAGGGGGTGTCTGGTATTCAGTAGCTTGGTCAGGTCGCTGGTAACGTCCAGTTAGTGCTATGGCTCCATTCGACGGATATCCTCCGTTTCTTCCCTGCTCTTGTTCCTCATCCGCCTCCTGACTCAATTCGTGCTGCGTCTCGCTTAAGTACTCCACCCTATCAAAGGCATCGGTCACCTTATCCCTGACCACGCACTTCTGCTGGGAGATGCTGAACACCTCACCCTGGTCGCAGCTTCCGATGGAGGTCTGCTGGTCCCGACATATTAAGTACTTGGTGCAGTCGAAGGGATGCAGATAGTAGCCCTGAGCTTGGGGAGGACACGTCAGCGTTGTGAGGTCCTGCATGAAATCCGCTGCGGATGGAAAGATCACCTAGTATCCACTTGGAAGTTCATTGGGGGAAGAGCTTACTCGAGAACTGCACACTGATGTAGGCATGATCCAGATAATCGTGGGCAGACAAAAGGTGCCTCGCCACGCACTCGCGCTTGGACAGACTGTAGAGAGAGCCCGAGGGACAACACACGACCTGGAGAAGACCATTCTGGCACTTCACAAAGTGACCGGCATGGAAGGGATAGGGGTAGTTGCCCTGAAGAGTGGGCGGACATCCTCTGAGGGGCGACTGGTGAACCTGGGCATCCTGATAGGTGTAAGTTGTTGTCGTTGTCGTTAGCTCTTCCCAGAACTTCACACGGTCTCCATTTATTACTTGGCGACTTGGACGACAAGCTCGCTGGGATAAACTGAAAGCCATTTGCGGTCCACAGCTAAGGATGGACATCTTGCCACCGTCGGAGCAACGCACATATTTGCCGGCATCGTAGGGATACAAATGGAGCCCATCGGTGCCACCAGGACAAGCGGAGAGGATCATGGCTGGGAGATCGAAACGTTGAAAGACTTGTAATCAGTATCCAATCGCAGGACTTACACAGCTCATGGCTGATCTCAGAGACCACATAGGACACATAATCGGTGTAGACCAGCTGCGTCTTGGGCTGACAAGTTCCCCAAGAAATGCTGAACACATGACCAGACTCACAACTCTGCACTGCCAGTTTTGCAGCCTTGCAGAGGAGGAACTTGGTTTGGTCGAAGGGATGCACGAACTGACCGTCTGCCCCATGTGGACACAAGAGATCTGACAGGTGTTCAGAGGTTGGAGAGGGATTGTCTAGGAGGGAGCACAGAAATTACATCTTAATCTAACCAGGCAAGCAAAGTATGGAAGCAATATGGAGAACCAAACCCAAATGGAGAAGCAGGTGAATAGAGCTCTTAATTCCCTAGGAGCACGACTTACAGGCAGTTTGTGGTGGGGAGTAAGTCTGGACTGGGCCCGTTGGGTAGCCGGGACTTGGATGGCCCTGGCTGAGTTGGTTCAGACCCGCTGAAGAGCTCCTGCCACTGCAGTCCACCTTATTGGCAAAGTCACAAGTGCCACTCGCTGTGCTGAAGGCAGTTCCAGGTCCACAATCCTTGACATAGGTCAGCCCATTGGCACATTCCAGGAACTTGGCACAATCAAATGGATGGGCATGAAGGCCAGAAACGCCTGGCGGACAGCTAATATCCCCGGCGTAGTCCAAGCTCTTTTCCTTCGGTATGGGTTCCGTCATATGATGAGTTGTCGTCACCGTTGTCTCGATCAGGTATTCCACACGATCGTTGGGCTTCTTGACCTCATCTTTAGGCAAGCACCTTTGCTGGGGAATGCTAAAGACTTCTCCCTGATGACAGCTCTCAATGTAAGTCTGTTGGTTGAAGCACTTGATGTACTTGGTGCAATCGAAAGGATGCAGATAGTAACCCTCGGTTTGGGGAGGACAAGTCACCGTCGATAGATCGTCCATAAATTCAGCTGAGAAGAAGGAGGAGCTGTCAATCTGGAAGTCAATTTTAAAATAGGCTCCTCTGGGGCTTACTCGAAAACTGAACACTGATATAGGCGTAATCCAGGTAGTCATGGGCCGCCAAAAGGTGTCGAGCCACGCACTCGTGCTGGGACAGACTGAAGAGCGTTCCCGTGGGACAACACACAATCTCCAGCACTCCATTCTGGCACTTTATATAATGGCCAGCATGGAAAGGATAGGCATAGTTCTTTCGGAGATTAGATGGACACGACTTGAGTGAGGAGAGCTGACTCTGAGATCGACCCTGGCTGTCCTGATAGTAGGTAGTCGTAGTATGAACCTGAATCTCCTCCCAGAACTTGACCCGATCTGCCTGGTTTACTTGACGACGTGGCAGACAAGCCCTTTGGGACAAACTGAATGCCTTCTGGGGATCACAGCTCAAGATGGACATCCTGCCGCCAGCGGAGCACTGAACATACCTGCCGGCATCGTAGGGATACAGGTGATACCCCTCGATGTCGCCAGGACAGGAAGTTAGGATAAACGCTAGTAGAATTTCTTAATATAGGAGAGTTTTCAAGGACATTGCATTAGACTTACAATACTCAAGGCTGATCAGAGAGATAATTAAGGTCACATAATCGGAGACCACTAACTGCGACTTGGGGTGACAGTAACCCCTAGATATGCTGAACACATAGCCGGGCTGACAGCTCTGCACCATGTTAACCTTGCAGTTTATGAACTTGGTCTGATCGAAGGGATGGACGAACAGACCCACAGCTCCCGCGGGACACAGGAGATTGTTCACCTGAAGCGCGGCAGAGGTCAAAGCGGAAGCTGGTACAAGGCAGAAGGATTAGCATTACAAATATACAGGAAGGATAAAGTAGAGTAGAGTATATAGAGTAGCAAAGCATGAACCCAAAGCGCAGGATGAGTAGGAAACCCCAAAATGGATAAGCAGAATGAACCAAGCGAAGCGAAGGCAGGCAGGATAAGAAATGAAATCGAACTTACAGGAGGTCTGAGCGGAGCCTGAGTAAACACATACCAATCTGAAGCCGTCAAAGATCTGACCCTGCGGACACTGCTCCACCTGAGGCTGGACGCCGATGCCGCAGCGCAGATACTTGTGCGGGTCGTGGGGATGCGGATGGAGGCCACGTGTGCCGGGCGGACAGCCCAGCTGCTCCGAGGACACCGCAGAGTAGGCTGACCCGAGTGTTAGTAACGAATTAACAATAGGCATTGCTTATACGTACCATGGCCCGATGATCCTGATCCACCAGCACCGCCACAGTTGACGGTACCTTTGTGAACGCAGACAAGCAGCGATGGATTGAAAGCCGTTCCTGGTCCGCAATCCTGGATAAAGGCATGACCATTGGCGCAGTTAAGGAACTTGGTGCAGTCCGTAGGATGCGGATGCAATCCATTCACACCATTGGGACACTTGGGATCGCTGTCCAACTGCCTCAAACGCCCCAAGCGAGTGGTTTCCGCTGGCGCCACGGCTCCTCCTCCGGCTGACGAACAATCCACATTGGTGGGATGATCGCACTGAAGAGTCTTGGGATTGAAGAGCGTTCCCGGTGAACAGGTCTGGATGGTGGCGCTGCCACCGTTGCAGTTTACAAAGCGATGGCAGTCATGGGGATAGGCCACAAGACCCTGAAAATTTTGTGGACACGCCGATTCCCGCTGGTAAATCGGCTGCTGTTCTCCTCCATAGGCTGAGTGCCCTGAGTGTGCTGCTGATAACCCCACTTGTTCCGCCTGCTCACTGCCGCTCCGGTAACCGCTGCCTCCTGATCGATAAGCTATAACCCCGGGTCGCTGCGCAGGCACAATTATGAAATATTATTGCAAAATTGGAAGCAATTAAGAGCGATATTTAGCGCTAATAGCTTATAATTAGGATCAATTTCGGGTTCGGAATAATTTCTTAAGAAACTTTAAATTAAAAGCGGTTTAAAAATTAAATATAAGCACATGTGTTGATATTTAACAAGTTTATTATATTATAACTTTACTGTAAGATCAGATTTTAACAAAGATTTCACTTGATCCTTGAGGAAATTCACTATTTTAAAAAAGAATACTAACATCCACTAGCAGGATCGCCAGGATAAGGCCCAGGATGGCCCACTTGGCCATTGTATTCAAATTTTACTTTATTCACTGGATTTTATATACTAATATTTCCTATATAGCACCGATGCTGATAGCAACTTTACTCGAATATGCGCACAATTTCAGTTTTTTCGTTATGATCCCGTCCAAGTGCCAGGCTCGACTGACTCAACCAACGAGATCGCATTTCAATTGGGGCTCGGGATGAATCTGTAGCCCCAACGCTGCCGCTGATAGAGATGCTCTCGGATGTCACCGAGCCAATTGAGTGGACGTAGGCACTATCTTTGCTAGTAATCTCAAGACCTTTCTCGCCGCCTTATCTCCTTGTCCCCTTGTTTTGTTTGCCTTTTCTTTCGGGGGTTTTCACTCGTTTATTTGCTTTTGAGGAAAATGAAGATGATGCAGCCCCTAGGGTACTGATGATGATGATGATTTACAGTGGCGCAGTCGTATTTAAGGGTTGTCTATATTTACATAATTGCCAACGCATTAAAACAAACTCAACGTCTTACCTTAAAATAAAACTAGACTAAATCATTTGGTCGCCGGCGGCTGAGTCTTATCAGCAGGTGAAGACCGCTCCACGAGCCCGACCCGCTGCTGAATCTTCAGCCAGAGCAGATCGTACGGCTGGTCGAGTTCCGTTTGGGTCTTGGGAATTCCCACAGATCGTCGCACTTCCGGCGAGAGGAGCAGCAGATTTTGGGCGAGGCCAAAGCTGCTGGAGGCTACCCAGTAAACACAGAGCGCCGACGGCACCGTGCAGGCCACGGGAACCATCACAACACTGAGGCCTCGGAACACATAATTCATAGCGTTTTGCAGCCGTGTGGCAGGACGTGTACGGGACATGGACTGCACCTCAATGATGGCCAGGTTTATGAGGCCCAGGGCCACTGGCAAGATGTAGGAGCTGTCCACCACTGTAAGGTTGGGTATCCAACCAAATCCTCCGATGGTCATCTCTGTGGCCACGATCTGGGCCTGTATACTCGTGGGATCCGGCAGCAAGTAGACTAGATTTCGCAGTGCAACCGACTGGAAGATCCACAGTGGCACCTGGCCCCACAGCACGATGAGGGTTTTCATGGGATGACAGTTGTCTCGGATTATGAGTTTCTGCCACTGCTTTTTTATCTGAGGAAGAAGGATTATTAGGATTGCCTGGGAAAAAGGGGTTTTAATCGCACAAACCGAACGTTGGTAGACGACCTGCGTCTGCTTGTCGGTCCACTTGAACTTGTGCTTGGCCATCGCCGCCTCCCGCTTTAGCTCCTCCACAATGGCGGGCATTTCCAGCGCTATCCTCTCGATCCTGGCCGTGATCCGGTGCTGGTAAACGGTCAGCGGCAAGGTGACAACGCTGCGGAACAGAAATGTGGACAGCACAATGGAGGCCCACCAGGGAAGGCCACTGTAGTCGTGTATCTGGATAAGCGCATCCTGCATATAAGCCACTGGAGTGCTGTTCGATAAAGTCTGCCAGAATCCCACCATCCCGCTGGCATTAGCCACTTGGACACTTGTCGCGGCCGTCACCGCCGCTTCCGTGGATGCCGGGCGGTGATTGCTAGTGTCATTTAGGAATGTAGCTCCGGGATAAGAGTTTTTATAGGTTCCAGCAAGGATTGGCCTCCTGCAGGCACGGTAAAGCAGCAGTGCTGCCATTGTTAAAACAAGAAATTCGACTAAATCGCGAGGTAAACAATACAAAATGCATAACAGACAACAGCTGACCGAGCCGCAGTGTGACCGCACACATAGCGGCTAGTGATGGCAAAACATCGGAGCACTATCGATACCATCGGTGTTTGAATTATTTCATATTTTTGAACTATCAATTTTTTGAAAAAATTATATATGTGTATGAGATATTATACGATATTTTTACGATTCAATTGATTTGTGTACCGATTAATATTAAGATAATTAAGTATAAAACCAATTTTTGTTTGTTTTATGGGCGCTTTTATTTGTGAGTTCGGATGTGTCTATTAAGAGTATTTTTATGCGAAAACGACTTTGAGCAGTGGGAGCACTTGTATGGTCGCTCTCCAGTGTGAGTTCGGATATGTTCAATTAAGTTGCTTTTAAAGGAAAACGACTTTGAGCAGTGAGAACACTTGTATGGTCGCTCTCCAGTGTGAGTTCGGATGTGTGGGGTAAGATAACTTCTACTGGAAAATGACTTTGAGCAGTGGGAACACTTGTAAGGTCGCTCTCCAGTGTGAGTTCGGATGTGTGCGGTAAGATAACCTCTATTGGAAAATGACTTTGAGCATTGGGAACACTTGTATGGTCGCTCTCCAGTATGAGTCCTTATGTGTGTTTTAAGATGACTTCTTATGGAAAACAACTTTGAGCAGTGGGAACACTTGTATGGTCGCTCTCCAGTGTGAGTTCGCATGTGTTTTTTAAGACTTCCTTTTTCGGAAAATGACTTAGAGCAGTGGGAACACTTATACGGTCTCTCACCCGTGTGAGTTCGGATGTGTAGCATAACTTGAGATTGCGTTGAAAACGACTTCGAGCAGTGGGTGCACGAATACGGTCGCTCTCCCGTATGTGTTCGAGTGTGCGACGTAAGACCATTTTTCTGGGCAAACGACTGTGGACATTGGGGACACTTATACGGTCGCTCTCCCGTATGCGTTCGGATATGTAACTGAAGATGGTCCTTAGTGGAAAATGACTTTGGGCACTGAGAGCACTTATACGGTTTCTCGCCCGTGTGAGTTCGGATATGTATTTTAAGACCCTCTCTACTGGAAAATGACTTCGAGCAGTGGGAACACTTATACGGTCGCTCTCCCGTGTGTACTCCTCGCATATGTTGCTGAAGATTCCATTTTTTCTTAAACGTCTTTTGGCAGTAGGTACACTTGTGCGGTTTTTTAATCTCAGGAGAGCAAACATCCTTCCTTAAATTGACTGTTAAGACTTTACGGTTCTTCAACTTGAGTATCTTCTGGTGGCTCTTCTCAATTGTTTGCCGTATCTCAAAGGCGGATCGTGCACAGTGCAGGCAAGATTCGCAGATGTTTTCAGGAAAGCCATCTCCTTTAGAAATCTCATAGGGAGTGCATTGAGTAATCATACCGGCGATGGAGATCCCTAGTCCAGGAGCGTTGTCGAATATGTTGATCATTACAGGTGACGTTCCTAGGCAAGCGCGACAGATTTGACTAAAATTAATTGCAGAAAGTGTGCGTTCAACAAAGGATATAGACACTGGTATATTTTGATTAACTTACACTTCCATGATTTGAATAGTGAGGTTTTTTTTTACTTGTATTGAAAAATTATACTTGGATATATACTTATAAACTTGGTACAGTCTTAATACACAACGCAGAATGTCTAACATATGTATGATCACAATTTTTCATCCTTGTGGATAGAGGTGGTGAAAAATCGATGATTTCGTGACTATCGATAACAACGGAGATGTAGTTTTCGAATATACTGGGTATTTCATTGACGAATGAATGACCGAATTACTGAAAATATATATTATATAATAATTAAGTGAACGACTCAGAAAAGTCTGCGCTAAATTTTAAAACAATCTCAATCGCCGAAATTTTGTCAACAACTCACAACTGAAATTTGATTTCTAAATATAAATAGAAAAGTAGGCCAGTCGGAATACTTAAAAAAAAAGTAAATATTTTAGTTTATTCGGCCTAAAAACGTTTCGCGAAATATTTACATACACGATTAATTTTGTACACAAAAATATCGATATATATTGATATTTTGATATATATTTTTTCACATCCCTACTGCACTTGCAACTTTTTCCATTTGAAACGCAATATTTAATACGAGTAATGAATTTTAGCCAACGCCAACCAAAATGGCACACAATACCAGCAGTGGCACTAAATCAAATCTTCGACTATCTGCAGCCCCAGGACCGGCGGGCGGCGGCCAGTGCTTGCTATTCCTGGAGACTTTCCTTCTTTCAGAAACGGTTAGTTCGATGTGGGTGTGTATGTGTGCGAGTGTTTTGCAGATCCAGGTGTACGTGCCTGTTTGTGTGTGTGTTGCTGAAATGTTTCAATCCGTTTCTTTGTTTTCCGCCCATATATTATAGCAGTTGGTAAGCGAAACAAACAAGAAAACATCTGTGAGCAATCGAAAGTGCCACATAATGTATATGGACGTTGCTCTTGTTGACGCGAGCGTCGCATTTGGCAACGTTTCAATGTGTGTGTGTGCGGGCAAACAAAAACAACAACTCGGGCTGTTTTGTTTATGTTAGTGTTGAAAAAAGGGGGAAAGTCCAAGATAAGAGGAATTCCCCTGCTTTGCCAATTGCAATTAATTAATTACTTGATCGATAAGCACGTAACCTTTAATGGCAATTGTTACGGTGTGTATATATGTATATATATGTGTATGTATACATGGAAGTGCATTAACAGTTGCGTTTTATTTACTGTGAACGCTCGAAAGTGTTCACTGTAGGAATAGGTATAAAAATTTAATTTTGAAATCACAAAAATAGGAGGAATATTTTCTACATCTAAAAGTGTCTCTTTTATGGCTTAAATCTTAAGTAAATTATTTGTTACTTAAATTAATAATTTCACTTTTTCCCCCACAGCTATTTTAAAAACTTTCGCTTTCAATTGGATCTGGCGTGCGATGATCAACTGGCCTTCTTTTATCGCTCCATGGCCAATTTGGCAAAGGAACTGATAGTGGTCTTTGACTTTCACAATGCATTTCACATTCAGAAGATGCGACGCCTCCTATACAAGTAAGCTTTTTCCCCCAAATATCAACCTACTGTCCGTTGCTTATATCTCATTGTTTTTGCAGAGTGGCACGCTGTGATAACATCCGGGGATTGCGTTTTCAAACCCACAACGTGGGCCTGGTTGCCATTGGAAATATGCATAGCGAGCACTTGGCGGCCATAGAACAGTAAGTATCAAGGCACTTGGCTCATTATGTACACTGAATAATGTGGATTGTATTTACCCCATAGATGCTTTGTTGAACCCTTGAAGCTACTCCTCAACCGCAAGCGTCAGTCGTGCCAGCTGCTGGACCTTGGAGCTATAGAGGCGCTCACCTACTATGGCCACGACTTCCTCAAGGCCATGGGAAAGCCCCAGGAACTGTTGCAGCTGACGCTTGCCAGCATCAAGTACGATCCTAGTCACTATCCCATTCTGTCGCTCGACACTACGCTGCTGCAGAAGTGCGCCGCCCTCCAGGTGCTGTCCCTCGACTACGACACGCTCTCCGACGAGCTGCTGCACACAATTCAGGTGCTGCCGCTGCGCAAGCTTCTCATCGCGGTGCACGGCCTGGACAGCGAGGAGCAGCCAGACGTATCGGAGTCGGCCTGGGCTCATTTTAGCGCCCACTTTGCGAGCATTGAGCTGGTGCTGACCCTGGTGTATGCCTACGAGGCCATCGAGCTGCTGCAGCACCGCGTCCTGCGCCGCAACATGCCGATAACCCACGTGCGACTGCTCTTCTGCGAACTGATGAACGCCGAGGCTCTCGACTGGATGTCTATACACCACAGCGAGACGCTGCGCAGCATCCAATACGTGGACTCGGCGTACAAGAACAACGGCTGCGTCGACTACACCCGCCACGGCTATATGCGCCAGGATCCGTTCGTGATGATGGCCTGGCGATGCAAGCGCCTCGAGGAGATTGTGGTGCACGGCTATATGATGGATCCGCACAACCTTGTGGGCATTGCCCGGCTACGCGGACGGCAACTGAAGCGCCTCGAGGTTTCCCTGATCGACTGGACCAGCGCCGCTTCGCTGAATGCCTACAATGAGGTGAGTGAAAGCTTCCAAGTAATTCCTCAGTAATCTAAGAAATATCCGTTCGATTTGCAGGAGATAAGCACCTTGCTGGGACAAGAATGGTCGCCGATCGGCCCTGAAAAGCTGCCGCCATCGCTGGCCTTTGATCACGAGGTACGCGATCAGTTTGTGTACGAGATGCTGCGCCAGGATCTAAGCCAGTAGTAAGTGGTCGGGAGAGTAACCAAAAAAAAAAAAAAAAGAGAAAGAGAAAGAAAGAATTGAAAAGTCGTCAAGTGAAGTGAAAGAGGAGGGAAGTGAAAAAGTGAAGGGGAAAATCAAAAAAACATGACAAGTGATCAAGTCGAGCGCATAGAAATTAATTTACAAATTGCAAAACCTAATTACGTAGCTAAAACGAAACCCAAATGAAAAATATGTAAGCAAAAACGACAATTCAACCGTTATATACACTAAGTTATCAAAATTTTTATATGTAAAGAAAACGTTTCTTAAGTTTTTATTCTCTTCGTAATCGTAATCAAAATTGCAATTCGTTAGGCCAAAGCGAGCAGTGCTAGGAGCGGAGCAGAAGACTCACCTGAGCACTCCACAAGTCTATGTAATATTATGTACAGGGGCGACGACGAGATGAGTTTGTTGAAATCTGCTAGAGAAACATCATTTTATAAGCAACAACAACTGTGATTCAAGCAAGGGCGAGGGCAGCCAACCAGTGGGGGGAGTGCAGCATTGCGACAACCAACTCTCATACAAAAACAAAAACGACAACCAACAAATTGTTAAGCGAATTGTCTAGTTAGCTAAGTTTAAAAAGTAACAAAAGAAGGAACAGAAAGAGTGTGTTGAAAGATGTTTGTAAAACCAAAACCACGACCAATGTCAAATTGTTTGCTCAAAAACTCAATTGGCACAAATTGTTAAAGCCTTTGTAGTAGTGTGAATAAGTACGGAAGCGGGCGCTCAATTGTGATAAAAACAACAAACAACACCAAAAGCAAATGTAACAACCAACGAGAGCTCGATCCTCGTTCGCTAAGCGCCGCCATTTGTGTAGTTTAAAGTGATATTACCAGCAAAGCAGCAGCAGCAGCAGCAGCAGATCAGTATCTATAAGGAATAAGCTATATAGTGGCTGCTGTGCGTGTGCGTGTGTTTGTGGTACATGCGTTGGCCAGGGGCAGGGGATATGTGAACCCAATACCAAGTTTTAAGTATTTCGTAGCACAGGCATTAATTTATACAACTATGTACTATATATATTTAACCTATGTTTGCACAAACAAGAAGCATCAGCAGCAGTAAGCTCACCGCCGCTGCTCGTCCTCCCAGAGTTGCAAGCCGCCGACCAACAAGTACAACCGACACAACAACAACAACAATGGTACCTGAAGATCATGCTGAGCATTTAAAAGAAGAAGAACAACAACCACAAAGTACTTGCTCAAATCTAACAAAAACAATCGAAAGAAAAAACACAAAAAATCTACTGAAACAGAAGACTGAACCGAACGATCGGTTGTCAGAGCAAAGCGGTGGAGGCACTGGGCACTGGGACAAACAAAGAAAAAACAGAATGCGATCTCAATGATAAAACAACTCTTGCAACTATCCAATCGACCATCTCTATATATTTGTAATAATCTAACCAATCAATGCAAGTAATAATTTTTGTTATGAACTGCAATAGCGAATATTAATTTGTAAAAGGAAAACGAGTGCAAATCATGTGTAAAGCGAAGCAATCTATGAATGTATGTCGAGCAGCTAAAGAGCAAATGTAATGCCCACGGTCACAGGAAACGTTTAGTGTGTGCTTTCGATTCGAACGAGAGAGAGAGAGAGAGCCCCCCATGTTTTCCCTGTGGCCGGGCAATTAATTTAAGACTAGTACGTACCAACACAACAACCAACAACACCAATAACAACAACAAATGTGATAAAAGTGTTATGCTGCTTCCAAGGACAACCAACAACTTTGTGCAAGAAAAACACGATCCAAGACAGCGCACGATAGAAGCAAAAGAGAAAGTGTAGTGAGCATTGGAATGGCAGGGCCTTAGGGATTCAGGCTTTCTATAGCTACAAGACATCTGAAGATATTTCATTCTGACTGTATTATTGGAATTATAATTTTATTAATTGTTTTCAGTGAAGATCTGAATGATACTTCTTCCAAATCATAAACAAATATATTTGTTTCTTTTTTCATTTTTAAAGCTATTAAGCTCGTTTCCTAGGTCGTAAAAGATGTTTTCCTAAAAATAAAAGTATTATTAAGTGATTAAGTTAAAATAGAAAAGAAAACAAAAATTGTCCTCTATGTTTGTTTCTACACAAAATTCAATCAAGATGTCTTTTATCTATAGAAAATACAAGATTTAAGAACAACCCACACTAAATCGTTAGGCCCCCGATCAATGGAGTCATTCAATTACAATCAACGTAAACGAAAAGAGTATTAAGTTTTTCTGTTATACTAGAGTCACTTCCAACGCTGCTGTCCTATGAGTAACGTTCTTTTTGTATACTTACTACAACAACAACAAAAAAATATATATATATTTTATATGCCATTTATTGTATTTAAATTCAAAGGGACAGATACCGATTTTGTAAACCATTCCACAAACAAATTGCGATTTATGCTAACGTGTGTACTGATCGAGTAGCGAGAGACACTGAGGAGATCGGGCGAGAGAACATCCGAGTTTATGATGAGTGTTGAGCGAAAAACACCAAAACAGAAGCCTGCGTGTTACTATATATGTTATATATGTAAGAGTAGCCCCGATATCGTCGACTTTCGGGGAGAGGGACTTTGGGGGAAGAAGATAATGGAATACAGCCGTGCATTAACAACAATGTTTATATATGTATATGCAAGTTATGCTTACAAGTTATAAGAGCAAAAGTGAAGAAAGCTGTGATACAACAAATCCAACAAAAAGGCAAACAACAACAACAACAAACGACACACAAAGATAACACCACAACACTTTAGACAACCAGAGAACAACTACGAAAAAGACAAAAGCCAACTCGAAACATGTGCGACCAACAAAAGAATGTTAACAACTTTTCAAAAAACCAAGAGCCAGGGGAATCAGGAACCAGGAGGAGGTGACTAAGATGGGGATGGGCGAGTTCTAGGAGATCCAAACAGAGATCAGAGTAGTAGCTAGCAGGCCGGAAGGGTACGGGTACCAAAGCTTGAGGGCTTCAAGTGGAACAGCACGCGGAATATTAGAGATAAATCAAATGTTATATTATATATATATACACAGCTATGTAGTAGATCAAACACACACATAAAGAGTGCACATAACTATATAGAAGCTTCAGGAGAAAGCCACATTTTGATTTAAAGTCAATTTCCATTTGATTTGCCATGTTTTTTGATTTGTGCAAGATTTTAAAGCTTAAAACAAAAGAAAAACTAAACAAAACAGAGGCCAACGACCGTTTGTGTGGCATATATGCAATATCATTAATGTTTAAGAGAAACACCAGAATTATGTAAACCGAATTATAAACAGTAGCAAGCAAAGAATGCATTCAATTGAAAAACAAATAAAAACGTTTGAAATTTAAAAGTGGTCTTTGGACTTTTTATGAAAATATTACTCCAACAGATGTGGCATTATTTTAATGTAATCCTCCCGTGGCTCCATTTTTATAGCCTACTTCGTGGGCGGCATTACACAAGCGGCGTTTATTGAAGACCATCTCGGGGAGCGCCGATTAAATGTATATCATTTAAAATAATAAAAACAAACGAAAGCGGCAGGAGGAGGAGGAAACTTCCGCTGAGCAACGCAAGCGCTTCAGGATGCTGTGAGCTTTTCTCAGTCCTTGAACTTTTGACCTTGTTTCCGTGCGTTCGTGGTTATGTAAGCAGCTGCACACGCCTTCGCCTTGTTATGCAACCTGGTCAGGGATGTTGCATCTTCCTAGGACCAATGCCTGCCAAACTGGGCCAAGCGATAACCGGATAAGGCCCCAATTAAGCGGGCTTTGCAGGTAACAGATAACAAAGAGCGTTGAATGAATGACTGGACTCTTATCTGGCCGTGTTTGCCCTAGACAGACAACCAACCGGCGAAAGGCGTCATTCGGTCAGCAGACCGACGACGTTTACAGGTAACTATCATAGTTTTGGCCAAGGCCAAAAATCGCTGCAGTTGGCCCTTGAAAATAGTAAACAGGAAAAGTGATTACGCCAGCTCCAGTGCCCGCCAAACTGCTACCTCAGAGTTCTATTTTAAATGTTTCATTTATTGATTAGGCAGCCTTTTGGCCAGGTCTAGCTCGATTATTGACACACAGCGGCCGCCGCATAGAGTAAGCGAGTGAGTAACGAACTCGCTGCGAGAACACGCAACTAAATATCCAAAGTACACCAAGAAAAAGACTTTTAATTTAAAAGAATTTAATATATTTAAGGGGTTTCAGTAAGCAAAAAAGATTTGTGTTCTGAGTGAGTAATTGTTATGTCTTATCTAATGTTAAATATTTTATTTCCTTAGGATATCGTTTGAAATAGAGTTCCAACAGAGTCTCAACGTATTTTCTCCCTGTGTATCTACCACTAAATCTTGGTGGGATGATAAAAGGGGGGCGAATCTCGTGAGAAAAGCTTTGTCGCAAGTGCAGCTAGGAAACATTGGCGTCGGCGCTCTTGGCGTGTGCTCCGTATTCCGTACTCTCTCCGGCCGTCGCTCTCGGGTTCCGTCGCAGCCGTAGTCTCGTCGCTTTTGCCGCCAGTTGAGCAGTCGATTTTCGCACGGAGCACGACAGTCGAAAAAAAAAAAAAATTGAAATAGGCATTCAACAGCAAGCAGCAGCAAAGAGGGCCAGCCAGCCGAGAGAAAAATACATTTTTTACTTTTACTCAAAATCAAACAACGTACAATCGAAGGCGGTCGAACTGTTTGCCCAGCTGTGTGAGAAGCATTTAAAACGAAACAAACCTTTTGGTTCTCGAACAAAAAAAGAACGAAACCGAGCGGAGACACCTCCGAGGAGCATTTGCAACCTTTTCTAGCTGATTTATTACCCAACCGGAGGCCCGAAAGGTGAGTGCACGCAGAAGGGGTCACCAGTGCACCCTCGTCCGTATTGTTTATTCTGTGCCTGAGGTGTGTGTGTGTGTGTGTATGAGTGTGGCATGCTGCAACAGTCACCTCTACTTGGTGGGAATAATCCATCGTGCAGAGTCACCGCCCAGAGCCACCCACTCATCCGCTCGCTGTGATGTAACTTTCGGTGTGTGTGTGTCTGAGATTGCTCATACGCCGCGTGTGCTAAGGAAAACAAACCAAGAAAGAGTGCTCTCTCCATGGCGAATTTTTGCACAAATCCGTGGGATAAACAAAGCTCAGGGGTTCGCCAAACACTGCGCGCAAAAAAGCACTCCTAATTGATCGATGGCGAAATGGTCTAAAATTAGAACCCTGTCGACCGATGGGCGCCAGCCGGTGCAAAAAAAAGATCCCCGTATCCCAAATCGATCTGCAGTGCACAGGGAGAAATTGTGATCACTTGTGAAGTTTTTATTTAATTTATTTTAGATAAAGTGGGAGTCTTTAAGAATTATACAATTTTAGATTTGGTTGAAATATTGCTTTAAAATTTGCAGCATTTTTATTTCGCTTTATGAGCTGTCTAAAAGTATGCTACAATTTTTATTAAGACAAATATCAAAAAGAGCTTAGATAGCATTTCGTTTATAAAAATTGTTATTAATATTTAAACAAAGTCATACCGTTAATTTTCTTCTTATTATTATTATTTTAATTTCTGGTTTCAAACCTAAACATCTTATCTTTGCCTCTTTTTAATAATATTGCTTTATTTAAGACTTGCAAAATATGTAAATAAATGTGTCTAGAGATATTGGTTTATTATTTCATATTTATATATTTATTTATCAGATATAAATCACAATTTTTCCCTGTGCCATGACCAATATTTGGCTAAATGCCCACAAGTCGCGACGTTCACGTGCCCCCGGCGCTCTGTGAATTTTGCATTTTACAGAGCCTTAGGGCTGCACTCACATCACATCCATGCGCACTTTGTTTATAAATAAACCTTGAATAACGCCGGCATATTTTCACTGCCTGTCTTGTGGGCTCAACGTTTTTTATCTCTCTGTCTCGAGCATTAATTGAGCTCTGACTCTCTGAAAATGTGAATTGACTCTGCTGATGAGTTTAAGTTTTTTGCAATGCTTGTCGACAGCGGCGACGACGTCATTTGTTGCGCTTTTCGAGGTCTCAGTGATTCAGAGTGCATGTCGATTTGTGTGTGCAGTGGAAATTGCCTTTTGGAGAGCGCGAAAAATTTATTAGTAAATAAGCCGCCGCACCTTATAAATATTCAATAAACGGCTTACTAAATCGATTTTCTATTATTTGCAGCTAAAACAAAATGTTCGCCTTGTGGTATTTGACTTTTGCCGTCGATGAAATACGGTAAGTGTGCGGGGAAATTTGTTTGCCTCACAGTTTGACGGGCACTGATCTGCTCACAGGGCGGATGGGTAATATTTTGTAGCATACTTTTGGGCTGTTTGCGGGGGTGGCCTTTGTGTAGAGTTTATGTATGAGAAGGTTTTTGTAGGGGGTGTGATAAGAGGTCCTTTACTTAAATAATCATAATTAAACTTATAAATTTCATGGATTTAATGAAATTTAAAGTAAGAGTAAAATAATAAGAAGTGTGAGCTTTATTAATATAAAAGTTATATTCTAGGGACGTAGTCAGTGAATTAACATTTAGACAAATACATTTATTAGATCAATAGGAAAACCTTAAATGCTGCCTTCTTTAATGTTATTCATCAATTTGGTATAAAAACTTCGCTACCATAAATAATTCATATAAAATTTGGGATAACTTTTGCTAGTTATTTTTAATTGATAAACTAATACCCACTATAAAAATGGTAAAAACAATAATTTTATAAATTAATTTGGGCGTGAAAGAAGCTGATACCTATTCAGAGTTTTCAATGGACTTTTAATATAGATAAATTAAAAAATTATTAACTTTTAGGGGATCCCTGTTATATATTAATTAATAAATCTTCCCAGAATCAATACCCCTTATATTACTTCCTCTTTTGCACAACTCTTGCATTTCATAAATCTCCGAGATAAGTATTGTCGCAATTTCGCCTGCCAAAGCCATAATCTAATCGGAATTAGGCCAATCTTTCGCTCTTTTGCCGCACACGATCCCCCACAATCGATCGTTTTTTTCGGTTGGGAAGGTGCTAAATGTCACTTGTTGTGATACAATCGCCTTGGCCTTGCATTTGGCAACAATGTTAGTCAGCCAGCTCTGTCACATGATTGATTCTCCCGGCAGCAACCGGCTTTCGCGGCTCTAACTCTCATTCGTGATAAGTGCAATCAGCACAAAAACACACACAAGCACCCATTTTTCGCCAAAGCGAATTCGCAATTTTGGCAACAGAAAACGAAACAAGAGCGTCCAGTTGTTATCTGCCGGCAATTAGCGTAATAATGAAAGTGATAATTGCAAGTTTGGAGCGGCTCTCATCCGA